CCACACAAATGTGATCAATGCGGCAAAACATTTTTGAGCTCTTCACAGCTGAAGATGCATCTTAGAGTTCATACAAAAGAAAAACCGTATTCCTGTTCTGAGTGTGGAAAGAGTTTTGCCCAGCAGTCAAACTTACAAAGACATCAGAAGATCCACACTGGTGTGAAAGAGCATATGTGCTTTGGGTGTGAGAAGAGTTTCACTTCAGCTCAAAATTTGAAATACCATGAGAGGATTCACACTGGAGAGAAACCATACACATGTGATCAGTGGCTGAAGACGTTTCACAGTGTTGATTCAGCTTAAGAAAGCATAAGAATCCACAGTGGAGAAAACGGTAAACATGACGTCAATACAGCAAAACAGGTGTGCTGAGGGTGTTTTATGTCTGAATATCAGAAAACTTTGACTCTTGGGAACCAGTATCTGAAATTAGACAGCTCTGCCATGGTGTTACTCAGGCCCCGTTTACACTAGTGCGTTTTAGATCAAAAAACGATCCGCGTCCACACTAGCGTTTCACCTAGCGTCCCTGAACATATCTCCGTCCACACTACGCCACCATAAACGTATATCACGTGAACATTCGCGCACTCTGGTATATACATCTGCGCATTCTAGTATAAACAGGAAGCATGTGTCTCGCTCGGCATTTGGTTATTGTTAGTCAACAAACGCCGGATGAACATTAAACGCGATGGCAAAGAAAGCAAGAGAGGTATTTTTGTGGACAGAAGACGAGGTCGGGTTGTTACTAAACGTAACAAATTAATAACTGCAGAATGGCACCTAAAACAGACAATAGTGCAAACAACGCTCCCATTTCTGTGTCCATGTTGTTGTTTACAGTACTGTCTTCCAGTAGCGTTAAAGCCATGTGGTATAGTCATGTGATAGAAGCTTGACGAATAAGGGAAGGATACGCAATGACACAAAAGCCCCAATCAGCTAGCGAATCTCAGCAGTCCCGCCTCCGTTTTCAGATGTCTGCGTTTTTCTTAATCCACACTGAGACGGAGCAGCAGCGTTTTAGAATGAAAACGGCCTCTCCAGTGTTTACAAAACGCTCCGTTTTCGGTGCTCGAGAACTCCGGTGTAGAGTGGACGGATTGCGTAACCGTAGCAAAACGTATGCGTTTTAAGACGAAAACGCATTAGTGTAAACGGGGCCTCAGTGATCCAACTTAGATCCCATGCTGTTTAGTATCTACAGGGTTTGGACAATAAATCTGCAACACCTGGTTGTAGGCCATAATATATGGTGTACGGCCCCTTTAGCAACCAATGCAGCATCAGTTAGTCTTGGGAATGAGAGATACAAGTCCGGCACAGTGGCCAGAGGGATTTTGAACCATTCCTCTTGCAGAATAGTGGCCAGGTCAATGTGTGATGGTGGTGGGGGAAAACATTTCCTCACTCGCTCCTCCAAAACACCCTAATGTGGTTCAATAATAATGGGATATGGTTATGGTGACAGGCCATTGGAGATGTTCAACTTCACTTTCATGTTCATCCAACCACTCTGGCACCAGTCTTGCTGTGTGTATTGGTGCATTGTTATCCTGATACATGACACCGCCTTCAGAATACAGTGTTTGAAACATTGGGTGCTTATAGTCCTCCAGAATGGTTTGGTAGTCCTTGGCAGTGACACACCTAGTTAGCACAAGTATTGAGCAAAAGTACTTTTCCTTTGGCTCTCGGCGAAGGCGGTCGCTTTTCCTCCCGTTCCGTTCCATATCTCTCCTTGCTAGCACCTCTTGTCTTATTCTATCTCTGAGGCTCTCCGTGTCCTGCTATCCAAATGAAAAAGGTATTATGGATTTGATCAACTGGTCTCTGAATGCAATTGACACCATCTTCTCGACAAGAAGCCTGGGCTCCAGGGAGCCCAGTTGTCCTGCGGGGACGTTCGCAGCTGGATACGTGATGGACGGGTGGGAGAAATGGAGAGTCCTGTGTTTAGCTGCTCTGTCTCTGGAGGGATTTGAAGATATCTACCGATTCGGAACTTTGATAACAGGGTTTCTGCTGAAGGGCTTATGCAGGGCCCTAGGGTATCGGAAACTGATAAAAGCGGTCAGTGCTGCTCAAAATCCCACCAGGCTGGCTGGCTTGATTGAAACACTGATGAGTAGGGTCGCGAATCAGACTTTGGTCCCTGACCGCAAATTAGGAACCATCAAGGTAAAATTAGCGGCTCTGCAACAAATTTTGGCCAGATCGGGAGATGAGTGATGGACATTAAATATCTGTGAAATTGGCTAATATTGACCTAAAGTTGAAGTATCTTCCTGTCTTTTTTTTTCGGCTCTCTTCTTACTCCTGCCAGTCGGCCTTGGCTGGAAGTAAACAAGTCTGGTTCCCCGGGATAACAAGATAAGGAGAGGCTCTGAAATTCCTGAACCCTGCCAAGAACACCTGCTTCTGCACTCACATATACACATAAACATATCTACAGATAAACATTCACCACCGATCCCCATCCAAACGCCTTTGTGTGCTTTCACCTACGAGAGGCGTGGGCGGGACTGTGACTTGCGCCTTGCATGGCTGCTGGACCAGTTGGATGCCCGCACTCATCGGATTGTTTTTCCATTTCCCCTGTTCCCATCCCCTGTGTCAATGCTGTGTCTTGCCGATGTGCTTATGCTAATATAGGGCTGTTTTTCTCCGTTTTCCCATTCAAGGGCAAGCTGAGGGGGTGGTTTTTTTTTTTTTGCCTAACTGTCCAGATGTATCTTACTTCGTTTCTGAATGCTACCTCCTGTGTCCTGTCTCCCCTGAAAATTTGGCCATAGCAGCCCGGCCTTGTATATTGACCCTGTGGAGATCCTGACCAACAGTTCTAAAGGAAACAGGAGAGTTGAGGTGCATGTTTAATTCTGCAGTAAATTGGGCAGCTGTGGGTTTGTTTGTTTTTGGATACAATCCCGGTTAGCACCTGGACATCCCTTTTAGGCAGCTTCCTCTTGCATCTACAAGTTACCCCTGGATGTGGTTTGTTCTTCATGCTGGTTTACTGACATTACTCTGGATACTGCGGCTCTAGATAGATCACAAAGACTTGTTGTCCTGGTGTGCACAGTGTGCTAGCGAGACTTCCACCAACAATATGTCTTGTTTTTGAACACTGATGTGTCACCATAACTTTTTGTGCGTTGCAATACTTTAAGCAAGTGTTTGATATTACCCTGCTGATTAAACCTTCACACTCTGCTCTTACTGGTGGAAGGTGCAATCCAACCTATAGTATCTGAGGTTTTCACAAAAATGACTAAGTACAAGTGTGACTGACAGATTGAAGCAGTGTACTGATGCTGTGACACGTTACCTGATTGATTAATAAGAGTAATTAAATATCACATTTAACAACTATAGTAAGACATGGCGGAGGATCGGCAATGCTCAGCCTTTGAGGGCAGAGGCTCTAGCCACCGGACCCGCCCCCTTTGCACGCCCCCCCCTGCTCCAGAGGACTTAACACTTTTTAGACTCTTTCCAACAGTCCCTCTATCCCAGAGCTCAGCCCTGGCCACACTCATCAATGCTAAAAGCTGACCAATCACAAAGCGTATGTTATGCATCATTGCAGTAAATTCTTTTTGAAAGGTGCACATCAGGTTCAGTGTCAGCCACAGAGAAGGCTTTGTTGGACTCGGTCTTTATGACTAACGTTCCTCGTCCTTTATACGAATGTAATTTCCTCATGCATATGTAGCTCATCTGAAAGATGTGTCAACAACAGCTTTCTCACTCACACATCTTTTTAAATAGTTGTGCATTGCAAAAATCCTGCGTAAATTTTCACGGTTTGTGAGAAGAAATGTCCATTAATGATTCAAACATTTGTTTAATTGATATATGCAAATTTGCTGAAAGCAGATGGCAAACGAGAAAGCCTTACGCCGAGTTCAGACTGCATGATTTTCAAAGTAGTCGTGTCACAGATGTTTTCACACTGCATGACTATCTGGGCTAGCGTTTCGTCGCTGCTTTGTTTACACTGCAAGATGGATCGGCGACAGGGACATTCACATTGCATGACTTTACTATAGGGAGAATCGCCGACAACTTCGTCCAAACTACGTCTCACAGCCAAAAACATGTAGTATATCTTTTGTTATTAACTACATAATGAGAAAGAAGCCTTTAATGGGGTAGAACATGAACATGTTTGCTCACCTGGGTTTAAAGGGAATTAGCCATTTCTCCTCAACGTTGATAATAAACTAATTTCTTTCTGTATAAAACGTCAAAAAGACACGGTTGCTGTCAAACCTCCACTAGTTTTGCCTCCATTTCGTGGGTCCAAATAAACCGAAAAAGAGCGCTGTTAACTTCTACCCCAGCTTCCCGCTGACCTGCAGCAGGTATACACACAAACACACACACACACACACAAGTGAAAGCTGCTCTCTCATTGGCTGTAGGCGATCGCTGATGTTATTTTTAGTCAAAACTCAATTCACACGGCATGATTTGAATCGCCGACAGCTCCAGATATTCAGCACGCCAAATATCTCACAGGCATCGGCGACTCATCGGCGATTCTCTCAGATCGCGTCTTTGATCGTTCATACTGTGTGATTGTCACTCACGTGCACGAGCAGCGATTTGCCTGTGGTTTCAGGCATTTGTCGGCGATTTCTCAAAACCTGTCGGCGAGCCAAAATCGGGGCTAAAATTACGCAGTCTGAACTAGGCATTACGTGCCTTAATTACTAATTAAAGCATTTGTTAAAATTCTGTTATACACACTTTAATTACTCCCTTTGAACAGTTCTGTCTGATTATTATTTTGTATTAGACAGAACTGACTGAATGACGAAGTGGGAGAAGAATATCGGTCAACCACTAGATAAATTATATTTAAATTTATTTTACATCGATGTGTGTCAATATTTCGGGCTGTAGTTTTCAGTGTCTTTTCATTCTTCAACATTTGCTCAGCGTTTATGACTTACTAAAAACTGAACTTTATTTTACCTTTATTTCAGACCTAATTAAAGAGATTGAGGAGAGTCAAGAGGAGAAACAACATGTCAAAGCTGAAAATATACCTAATTTAGAGACTACTGATGTTTATTTGATGAACAGAACAAGCCAGAATTGTGTCTGCACTCAGTGTGGGAAGAGTTTCAGAAAATTATCAGCTCTTAACATGCACATGAGGATCCACACTGGAGAGAAACCCTTCACCTGCACTCAGTGTGGGAAGAGTTTCAGTCAGTTATCAAACCTTAAAGGACACATCAGGATTCACACTGGAGAGAAACCTTTCATCTGCACTCAGTGTGGGAAGAGTTTCAGACATTTATCATCTCTTAATAATCACATGAGGATCCACACTGGAGAGAAACCATTCACCTGCACTCAGTGTGGGAGGATTTTCAGACTGATAACATCCCTTAAAACACACATGAGGATCCACACTGGAGAGAAACCTTTCACATGTACTCAGTGCGGGAAGAGTTTCAGACAGGCATCATCTTTTAATCTGCACATGCTGATCCACACCGCGGAGAAAACGCACAAATGTGATCAATGCGGCAAAACTTTTTTTAGAGCTTCACAGCTGATGGACCATCTCAGAGTTCACACAAAGGAGAAACCGTATTCCTGTTCTGAGTGTGGAAAGAGTTTTGCACAGTGGGCAAATTTAAGAAAACATAAGAAGATCCACACTGGTGTGAGAGAGCATGTGTGCTTAGAGTGTGAGAAGAGTTTTACTTCAGCTCAAAATTTGAAACACCATGAGAGGATTCACACTGGGGAGAAACCGTACACGTGTTCACACTGCAACAAGAGATTCAGTGAGTCAGGAAGCATGAAAAGACATGAGAGGACTCACACTGGAGAGAAACCGTACACATGTGATCAGTGTCCGAAGAGTTTCACACGTTTGTTTCAGCTTAAGAAACACATGAAAATCCACAGCGGAGAAAAGCAGCAAACATGACGTCAATGCAGCAAAACATTTTCTTGAGTGGACCATTTTTTGTCACCCTTTTTAAGGGTGTTTACTGTCTGAATATCAGAAAACGTTTAGATCGCATGCTGTTTAGTATCTACAGGGGTTGGACAATGAATCTGCAATGCCTGGTTTTAGACCACAATAATTTTTCAATATGTTGTAGGGCCTCTTTAGCAACCAATGCAGCATCAGTAAGTCTTGGGAATGACAGATACAAGCCCTGCACTGTGGCCAGAGGGATTTTAAGCCATTCTTCTTGTAGAATAGTGGCCAGGGGCCTCATGTATCAACGCTGCATACCCACAAAAACTTTGCGTACGCCAGGTTTCACGCTCGGATTGCTCACGTTTGGATTTACTAACAATGAACTGAACGTGGGAATGTGCGCAGCTTCACGCCAGCTTTATGGCCGGCGTACGCACATTTCATGCGTGTCTGTTTTATTTCCATTGGCGACTCCTAGAGGCAGTTGTGTTAAAATTGCTCTCTACAAAGTGTCTGAGCCCTGCAATGGCAGCTGGATGAGACGGGTTCATCTAGCAGGTATATAAGGTTTCCATACCATACAGTTGACCAGCCAAACATTAAAGCGCAATTTGCAGCGGTCGCCTGTTTTCCCAATGTAATGGGAGCGATCTACTGCACACACATTGCTATAAAGACACTATCTGAAGATGAATTTGCATGCGTGAATCAGAAACATTTCCATTCAATAAATGTGCAAATAAAATATGATGCACAGACTTATTAATGATTCCTACTTGTCTTTCTCGTGACAAATAGTAGCAAAATCTGAGATGTAGCGGGGGAAAAAAGAAGAATGAGTTCATCAGATGCTGGATTCAAACCGAGTTCATGCTCGAACGTGTCAAAACATGATGACATGCGTTTTACGAGCTGCGCCACTGAGACTGCTAAGGGTGCTGCAACATTTTACACCTATAAATCACACTATTTCTCTTTTAACTCCACAGTGCGGTGTTCAGACCCAACTGTGTTAACCGCATCAGCTAAACTCTCCCTCTCTATTTTTTTCTTTTGTTGTTAATTCCGGAGAACAAACTTGCAAATAACACTGTTTTCCTCCGGTCTACCTCCGAAAGCAGCACCTCCAGTTCACATTCTGTTCAAAGTTTCTCTTCTTGCTTGCTTTTGCCGTTGCTTTTTCGTTGGGTTTTGCCAAAGTAGAGTCATTAGCATATTCATACGGGGGCGGAGGCAGGGAGGGGTTTTGCGCTTGTGCATGTTGCGCTCAGTTTCACGTTCATTCGGATGTACAAAAGAATATGCGTGGGATTCGGCGTACGCAGTGTTTCATACATCTGAATTTTCAGTGCATACGCAATGTTTTAGTATGATTTCCACGCAAGTCTTCGTACGTGAGGCCCCAGGTCACTACGTGATGCTGATGGAGGAAAACAATTCCTGACTCGCTCCTCCAAAACACCCCAAAGGGGTGTTATTAGGCCCGAAGTGCCACTGACACAACCTCATGCTATGACAGACTCTGGCTTTTGGATTTGTTGCTGGTAATAGTCTGGATGAGCACACGGCGTCCATTTCTCCCTAAAAAAATACCTGAAATACAGATTCATCCGACTATAGTACACGTTTCCACTGTGTGATGGTCCATCCAAGATGCCTACGAGCCCAGAAAAGTTGAAGGTACTTCTGGACACTGTTAACATAGGGCTTCCTTTTGGCACAGTACAAAGGTTTGCCAGAGTAGTCCTAAGCCCATGTGGTTTTATCCCTCATAGATGAATGATGATTCTTGATGCGGTGTCACCTGAGAGATCTGAGGTCACGGTAGTTCAGCTTAGGCTTGCACCCTTGACCTTTACGCAACAAAATTCCTCCAGATTATTTAAATCTTTTAATGATGTTCAGTACTGTTGAAGGTGAAATAATTCCTCTCTTTATCTGAGGAACATTGTTTTTATACATTTCAATAATTTTCTCACGCACAAACTGGCAAACCTCGACCCGTCTTTGCTCCTAAAGGACTGGACCTTTCTTGGATGCTGCTTTTGTACCAAATCATAATTACAATCACCTGTTTCAATTTCAAACCATGTCCTTATTTAACCAATTTACCTGATTACAAGCCCTAAACTGCTCCTTTTTTGTAAATGTGTTGCAGTCAAAGTAAATTTAGAAGTGCTTATTTTGTTTTTCATACCTTTCCAACATCTGATTTGTGGTGAAATATATTTTTAAGAGGCATACCATCCAGGCAATCAAAGACTTCTCAGACCATAAAAATACAAAACAGTATAATTGAGATGCACTTACCTGCCCAATTCCCTGAGCAGTGCATGACTCTCACTCATGATCATTGTCCTTGGAAGATGGTTCGATATCCAGTGTGCCGGGTGTCTTATTTGAATAAACCACCATCTTTATGTTTAACAAGCTGTACGATTTAACTCCTGCACCACATCGTCTATATCTGTACAAAAGCAAAGAGAAACTTAATCAAAACTACACAGTCCATGTCAAATTTTTGAAAATGTATGCCACTTCATGTTTGGTTTCCATGCTTCCATTGTTGTCTAAAGTTGAATATAGTCTGTCTATCTATCTATCTATCTATCTATCTATCTATCTATCTATCTATCTATCTATCTAGATAGATAGATAGATAGAGTACTGTCGAAGACTGCATCGATGCATCATCAGTATCAAAAATGCATCTGGGTTCTTTTACGCGTCCTCTGTTCTTGCGGTCTTGAGTTTAACTTAAGTTTGGTGGTCGATGATGATGTTACACAAGGATGCAATATCGCTTAACCAGTTAAGCTCTGCTGCTATTTTGGGATTACCTCCTGGATTTTGCCTACCCAAATTTAAAAGCTTCCCAAATCCACATGCAGAGGAGTAAACACAAAAACTTGGTGTCATTTTAAAGAAAACCCTTTGAATTTTCATAAAACACTATTGAAAGTGTTTAAAATATCTGTTTTTGTGTGTTTTGTGTTTTAAAATAATAAACACCTAAAAAAAAGAGGCGCTTTTTGTATTTTTTTTTATAAACTCAAATTTGAAAGTGTACGTTTTAGGTTCTGTGTGGTCTCGCGTGCTGTAATTAATGTTGGTGGTTCCTGCACATGTCTATAATCATAGGATAAAGGGAAATGTCTCCACCGTAATCTATGCAAAAGTTACTGTATTCCAACTGATGAGAGGTGCTGTACAAGCCAGTCATTGTTTTCATATTTCACGATTCTTTTGTTTGATCAAACATAATTCACTGTGTTTGGACCACGTCAGACATATAAAAGGATTACTTATGCACATCACCTCAAAAACAGAGGAGAATGGCCCTGAAGCACACAGCATAAGGTGAGAGATGACAGCTGTCTGTGCTATCTGGGGCTGCTTATTGATCATAAATGTATTGTTTTCACTTCTGCGCCATGGAAACACGGCGATTCATTCAACAACTGTTTGATATGTGAATATAATTCAGTAAAAGATTGCTGAAGAGAACCGGCAAGAGCTTTTATTTGAGCTATAACTTGTACATGTGTCATATAAAAAATATGAAAATGAACCAATGTTCAATACCCAGCTTGGGCATCCAAAACACAGTGTATTTAAGTGTAAATAAATTTTGTACAGTAAAATAAAATACTAATAATATAAACTACGCATATTGAGAAACAGCCCTAGTGTTTTTTGCCATTGTACTTCTGTAGATAAGAATAATACTTATACATTATTAAAAAGATTTTATTGTTAATAACATAAAAACATGTAATAATCATGAAAACATTATCAGTTTTTGCAAATAAACTCTTTAAACTCGATTTAGAAGATTACGATTTCAAAAAGCATCTGAAAACAAGAACAAAATACTGTTGAAAGTTGATGAGGAACAAATCCCTCAGAGCATGTGCAGTACTACAGTAGGCTGCTTACCACATCATTGACATGTTAGACTAACGTATACAGATAGAAGTAAAGTTGGATTTATATTCGGATTTTCAGACATTCCCCTTAATAACATCATTTCAGAAAAGTATTCATTGCAAATTTTAAATAGGGAAATCATTAGCAGCCAATGACTATCAAAGTACAACATTGTTCACAGTCAAATAAACAGTGTTAATGTTGTTTTCAAGTCACACTTGCATGCTAATTCCGATCGAATATTCAAAGTAACATAGTAAACAATAAAGAGACTGCTAAATGAACGAATGTGTGAATATAAAACCAACTTTACCTCTATCGTATACAGCAGCACAATTGCCAGTGCAGTAAGTTAAATATGCATTTACATCTTTTTACTTCAGTACACTTCAATGTATTGCAAGATGTATCGCTGTTAAACTTTATTGTATTGTAATTTAACTGTTTCATTATATTTCAATTTTACAGTTGCAATTAATTTTTACAGCAGTTATCCTTCAATATACTGCTGTTCTACTTCAGTTTTACCTCTGTATCCTCAGGCTTCCATCGAAATCCATTCATACTCCAGCACAGGAGGTGGCGATATGCACCTAAACTTTAATTTGCAAGTCGTCAATGAACCCGAAGAGGAGGAAAGACTGAGAGAAGTGAGACGATACTGCTGTATTGTTTAATCGTGCTTTTTCTTGTTGATTATGTAGTTACTGTTGATTATTGTACTGAAGTGAGCGCTAATCAGTACCGACCGTTATTTAACTGCCGCCTGATTTAAATGAGCTAGAGTTGGTTTATATTGGTTCAGTGAACGAACTTGTGAAATCTCCCTGTGTTTTTACCACAGAACTTTGAATATCCAGTCTGAAATCACATGTAAGTTTCATTATAGAGGTAAAGTTGGTTTTATATTCGCACATTCGTTCATTTAGCAGTCTCTTTATTGTTTACCATGTTACTTTGAATAATTGGTGGGAATTAGCATGCAAGTATGACTTCTTAACAACATTAGCACTAATTCACTGTTAACAATGTTGTACTGCGATAGTCATTGGCTGCTAGAAATCATACTTGCATGCTAATTCTGATCAAATATTCAAAGTAACATGGAAAACAGTATAAACACTTATATTAGTGAATGTGCGAATATAAAACCAACTTAGTATATGTGAGGGGGCTTGTAAATAACTTTTGAAAGAGTAAAGTTACGTTTAAAACCTAGCACACCAATGTTTTTCTTTTGAAATTCCCAATAAGTTTGTTAAGGTGTATCCATATAAATGACCCACCCTGTATTTCTCTCTGTACAGATCACATCTGTTACAAATGAAGGAACTGTTGTTGGGTGTTGAGGTAAAGTAGATTTTTTATTTGCCTATTTGTTCACTGATAACTTGTGACATGCTGCCTTTAAGTTTTTTCCCGTGGTACATTGAATATTAGGCCTGAAATAAATCATAAAATAATCACATGTAAGAATCAAAACAACATTAGCACTATTTATTTGACTGTGATCAATTTTGTAGTACATAGATAGTCGTTGGCTGCCAATATGATTTCACAAACGTTATTTAGAATTTTTTTCTGAAATGACATTAAGGAGAAACGCTGATTGTGTGAATATAAAACCAACTTTACCTCAATACTTCTCTAAATATCCCAAATTCAAACAAAAATCAAAACAAGTGTTGTTCTCCTATTATTCTTGCATTATGATATTGGCATAAACATGCTGACAATGGGATATTAAGCAACAGAATTTGTTGAAATATCAAAATTATAAATAGTAAATGAACAACAAATATTTCTTTTTGAAATGGGTAGAAACTTTCACTGCTCAGTGAACAAATGTAACATTATTAGCATTCGCTGAAAACCACAACATTGACTAATCGTAACTTTTTACCACTGCTGATTTTAAATATGTGGTTTCTCATTGTGTTCACATCATTTATTGTAAGATAATCTAAAGCAGCGCCTTTTTAATTTATCATCCCAATAGTCAACTTTAGAACTGTTGAACCACTTGTTCAATGAAAGATTATGGTTGTGTGCTATTAGCTTAAGCTTTGTATTGTTGTGACTTAGATGAAGATCAGAACACGTATTCAGTGAAATGATGCCAAAATCAAAGCAATCCCAAAGGGCTCACATACTTTTCCTGCAACTGTGTGTAACATTTTTCACATTTTGTTTAGTTTTGGCAGATCTGCTCCTCCTTCAGTGAAGCTCCGTCTCCTCTGCTATAAATACTGGAATATTCCCATCAGGAAGAAGAGAAATCTGCAGAGTTTATTGAAGGACGGAGAGAACATGAGTGATCCAGAACCCTGCAGAATTAAACAGGAAGAGGCTGAAGAACTAATAGGTTGGTGTTTATTGCTAATTCTTCAACAATGAGGCTAAAGAACAATAATGATTAAAATTTCGATATGGATTGTTTGCCAATATATGATACCTTGGAAAGTAGGTGGGCCAATATTAAGGCTATATAACTTATTTTACTTAATAATTAGGTCACACTTTACAATAAGGTTAATTAGTTAATGTTAAGTAATGCATTTACTAACATGAAAAAACAATGAACAATACATTTACTACAGTATTTATACATGTTGATAGAAGTTAGTTAATGAAAATTAAGTTGTTCATTGTTAGTTCATGTTAACTCATGGTGCATTAACTAATGTTAAAAAGCATGGACTTGAATGTTAATGATGCATTAGTAAATGTTCAATTATGATTAATAAATGCTGTACATGTGTTGTTCATGATTAGTTTATGTTAGTAAATGCATTAACTAATGAACCTTATTGTAAAGTGTCACCAATAATTAAAATAGAATTAAATGTAAAATAATTTGAGAATTAATAATTCATTCATTCATCCTCTTTTTGGCTTAGTCCCTTTATTAATCTAGGGTCGCCACAGCGCAAGGATCCTCCAACTTATCCAGCATAAGTTGCAACCTATCACTGGGAAAGAATTAATAAATATCTAATAAGTAACGTGTGAAATAAACACAGATGCAAGTCAAATAAGTATTGAACACGTCACCATTTTTTTCAGATAACATTTCTAAAGGTGCTGTTGACTTGAAATTTTCACTGGATGTTGGTGACAACCAAAGACATTCATATATGCAACGAAAACAAATTGAACTAGTTTACAAATTAAGTTATGTGTAATAAAATGAATTGAAGGGAAAAAAGAAAGGGATGTGTAGTTCGGCAGTGAAAGCCCAGACAGCAGCTGAAATCTCTCCGTAGTTCTTCAGCAACCCTCTGCCCTTCCTCAGTTTAAATGAACATTAGCTGCTTCAGTCCAACATCTGCATTAGCAAGAGGATGAAGATATAATCTATTCTGTGGCCAACTCGTCTCGTAAGCTTGTGACTAATAATGAAAATGCGAACTGAAAATAAATTATTATCTCTTATTAATTTCCAGAACCCTGCAGAATTAAACAGGAAGAGACCGAAGAACTGAAGACTGAAGGTTGGTGTTTATCACTGATTTTTCAATAATGATAACAAATATACAAGTATAATATAACAAATACATCAACAATCTAATTATACCAAATATTGTGCCCACCACAAAGCTTATCCTAACTTTAAGTAGACTGTACAAAGGTTGATAACTGTGGAGTACTATATATTAAACTAGTTGTTTATATTAAATTATTAAAAATTAGATTGTATATAATTGTTTGAATTTAAATGCAAGTCGCTAGTCGCAAGACCAAAAGGAACGCTGGGCGAGTTGACTACAGCCACTACAGTTCCTAGGCTATCCTTTTGCATTTCGCTTTTCCCATGGCGTCCTTCTGGGCTGAGGCAAAAAGCTTGGTGTGCATATTCAGGTGCCAGTCTAGCTGGGCCAGTGTCCTCCGGCAGCTAGAAATCAGGCATAGCATCTTCTGCATATCCACACGGCCAGAAGTCAGCGAGAGCTGAAGCCTTTTCTCCTCCGAGTTTGCAACCTTGTGAACCATTGACAGGTGTGTAGAGAGCCGGCTGTATATGTTCTCACAAATGTTCAGGCAGTAAGACACCCATACGCCCTGTGAAGCAAGCCAAAACAAGGGGAAGACACCCAGCGCCCCTAGGATGTTACGTCCGATCCTTCCCACCGAGTTTAACCAACAGAGAGAAGGCTTTTGCTGTTACAACTTTTGTAACAGCAAAAGGAACCATGGATGTCCCAAAGACCGACTTTTGATTTCAAAGGAATCATAACCATCAAATGCACCGTTTGGGCAGCTTCACTGTGCCAGCCGTGTGGGGCTTTGCTCAGCTTTTTGTCACAAGTTCCAATCGCTCAGTGTGAGTGTGCACCTGGCAGGACTGAACCAGGCCGGGAATCAGTCGACCTACCCTTTTCTGGTTATGTTTCAGAGATCAGCTGGGATGTGGCCAGCCAGACCGCACACACCCCTCTTTATTTCACCCCCCAGTAGGCATGGGCCGGTATAAAATTCTGACGGTATGATAACCTTTTATAAAAATATCAGGTTTCACGGTATTGTGATTACTGCTTGAAATAAGTTCTTTTTTATTCCCCTTCAAACCAATATATTTTATTTTGTGAAAGATTTTAAATATTTTGAAGCAGTAAACATACCAGGCTGAATAATTCAAATAAACCATTGACTGATTGCTGTCTTTAGTTTCCAAAACACTGATTTCTTTCCAATTAAAAACAGCATCTTTGGATATCTTTTCTGCTGGAGATACTGTTGTCCTAAATAAAAAAGTAAATAAAAAAATCGTACTCGTACCTTAGGAATGGTGCTACATAAAAATCTGGCAGTTTTAAAATGTTGACTTTTCCAAACCTTGAAAACAATTATCATTACATGCCTACCCTTCCGAGACTCTACTAGCCCACCCACTCCGGGTGAGGATGGGCGAGCCGAGAGCGAACGGGGATCAAGCCCAAGGTATGCGAGGCTGATATAGATGGGCCATCTGGATTCTCTTGAAGTATGGGACGGGGTTTGTGTTCGTTTTCCTTAAAAGAACCCCCAAGGCAGGGGAGAAACCAAGCTTGCCCCGTAGAGGCCACCACAGTAGCTGGAAACCGGGACAAGGGCCTCCCCCTGGGTGTCTCACAAATTCCAATTGAACAGTGAGGATTGCCTGGCAGGACTGAACTAGCTTCGCCAAAAACTTGATGAGAGATCAGAGAAATTTGGGGTCAGAGCACATACCCCCAGGCACTGTGTGTTCCGACACTTAAGCCGGAATGAGTGGCACCCGACAGGCAGTCTGCCGCTCTGGGGCTCTCCGGATGAACAACCAAAGCAAGAATTTTATGCATTGCTGGTTTTGCACAGCTTTCTGGACCTACCCCTAAAGCCCCTACGTCATGCCAAAATGATCCACCATCCCCTGGCTGGACTTAGGCTTTGAAAGGGCTCCAGAAGGACAGAGTTACTGAGAGCTTGCTGCCCCGGGAGCAGCTTGGCTTTCTAAAGGGCCCTGGATGGGACCATCCAGGTCTCTTCTTCCATGCTTAAATGGGCCGCCACATTTCGCGGGAACCCATCACTTTTTCTGGGGCAGCTTGGCTTCCTAAAGGCCCCTGGATGGGACCTTCCAGGGCCTTTTTTCCATGCCCAATTGGGCCACCACATTTAGTGGGAACCATTCACTCTTTCTGGGGCAGCTTAGCTTCATAATGGCCCTTGCAGGGGACCTTCCAGGGCCCTTTTTCCATGCCCAAAATAGCCACCACACTTGGCCAGAATTGTTCACTCTTTCTCGGGCAGCTTGGTTTCCTAAAGCCCCCGGATGGGATCTTCCAGGGACCTTCTTCCAGGGACCTTCTTCCATGGTAAAACTTCTAGGTGCAGGACGTCCTGAAACCTAAGCCAGAATAAGGACTACCTTGGTAGGCACGGCCTGGTGCTTCAATGCTTGGGAGGGAATCACTCACCCATTCTGGGGAGGGATGGGTTAGGATTAGGGGTAGAAGTTAATACAAAAACAATTTAACGGGTCAGTTAATAAATAATATAATTAATAGAGGTTTACAGCAGGTCCTCTTGCACCGGCTTACTGCTTTCGCAACTTGTCACTACAGAAATCATTTTCAAAGAACTGCTGCAACCCAATTTATGTGCGTCAATGTATCTTTTAAGTTTTCAACCTTTGCTCAGCATTCATGACTGAACTTTTTTTTTTACCTTTATTTCAGACCTAATTAAAGAGAATGAGGAGAGTGAAGAGGAGAAACAACATGTCAAAGCGGAAACTACTGATATTGATTCTAAGAACTTAAGAGACCAGAATTGTTGCGTCTGCACTCAGTGTGGGAAGAGTTTCAGTCAGTCATTAAACCTTAAAAGACACATGAAGACCCACACTGGAGAGAAACCCTTCACTTGTACTCTGTGTGGGAAGAGTTTCACTCAATATTCATACCTTAATAAACACATGAGGGTTCACACCGAAGAGAAACCTTTTATCTGCACTCAGTGTGGGAATTGTTTTAGACAATTATCATACCTTAATAAACACATGAGGATCCACACTGGAGAGAAACCCTTCACCTGCACTCAGTGTGGGAAGAGTTTCAGACAATCATCATGTCTCAGTAAGCACATGAGGATTCACACTGGAGTGAAACCTTTCACCTGCACTGAGTGTGGGAGGAGTTTTAGACAATCATCAGCTCTTAATCTGCACATGCTGATCCACATTAGAGAGAGAAAACACAAATGTGATCAATGCGGCAAATCATTTTTGAGAGCTGCAGAGCTGAAGGACCATCATAGAATTCATACAAAGGAGAAACCGTATTCATGTTCTGAGTGTGGAAGGAGTTTTACAGGGATGTCAAATTTGAGACATCATCAAAAGATCCACACCGCTGTGAAAGAGCATATGTGCTTTGAGTGTGAGAAGACGTTTGCTACAGCTCAAAATTTGAAACTGCACCAGAGGATTCACACTGGAGAGAAACCGTACAAGTGTTCACACTGCAACAAAAGATTCCGTCAGTTTGGAGGCCTGAAAACGCATCAAATGATTCACACCGGAGAGAAACCTTACAAATGTTCACACTGCAACAATCAATTTAGTCGGTTGGCAACCCTGAAGTTGCATGAGATGATTCACACTGGAGAAAAACCTTACAAGTGTTCACACTGCAACAAAACATTCAGGGATTTAGGAAACATGAAAACGCATGAGAGGATTCACACTGGAGAGAAGCCGTACACATGTGATCAGTGTCTGAAGAGTTTCACACGTTGGTTACAGCTTAAGAGACACATGAAAATCCACAGTGGAGAAAAGTGGAAAACATGATATCAATGCACGTCTGAATATCAGAAGACTTTGATTTTTTTGGGAAAACAATCACTCTGAAATTAGACAGGTCTGCCATTGCGTTCCTCAGGTTTCTATCTTAGGTTCCAAACTGTTTAGTATCTACAGTTATTCGATAATCAATCTGCAATGCCTGGTTTTAGACCGCAATGATTTTTAGTATGCTCTTGGAAATGACAGATACTAAGTCCTGCACAGTGGCCAGAGGGATTGTGAGCCATTCGTCTTGCAGAATAGTTGCCAGGTCACTACTTGATGTTGGTGAAGAAAAAAAGTTTCCTGACTCGCTCCTCCAAAACACACTAAAGTGGCTCAATTTAGATCTGGGGACTGGCAGGCCATGAGGGATGTTCAACTTCACTTTCGTGTTCATCAAACCACTTTGTCACCAGTCTTGCTGTGTGTATTGGTGCATTATCATCTTGATACATAACACTGCCTTCTGGTTACAGAGTTTGAAACATTGGGTGCAAATGGTCCTTCAGAATGGTTTGGCAGTGATGCACCCATCTAGCACACGAATGGGGCTTAGATAATGCCATGATATTGCTAATCAAACTATCACTGATGCACTCCTATGCTTCACTCTGGGGATGGAACGGTCTGGGTGATGCACTTCTTTGCGGCTTCTCCACATCGTAACTCTCAGTTGTGGGAAAGATAGTGAAGATGGATGCATCGGAGAACAATGCATGTTTTACATTGTCCACAGCCCAAGATTTTTGCAGCTGGCACCATTGACAACAATGTTTGACTTTGGCACGAGTCACCAAAGTTTTGTCTATTGACCTTATTCTAAAATGCGGAAGTGCGCCTGTTTTCGCGATTGTCTTAGAACTTCCGATTCAGTCGCCTATGGGAGAAATGACTAGGAATAATAAACGGCAGAAAACGGTCAAACTACTTGCTCTACAAACAAATGTTTGCATGACTATACAGACCAAGTAGAATAATATAACAAGAAAATATCAAATTGCAACATCAAGCAGCGAAATGAGCAGTTTTTAATGTCTAAAAATGAATGGAAGTGAATGAGACCAGAAGTCTTGAGCCAAAAAGATTCAAATGGCAGCGCCCGCTCGTCGGCGGAGAATAAGGTCAATAGCAGTCCGGCCATTTATATTGACCCTGTGGAGCTCCCGACCAACGGTTTTGGTGAAAACAGGAGAGTTGAGATGCACATTTAATTATACAGTGTTTTGGGCAATTGTGATTTTGTTTTTTCAAAATAATCCATGTTAGCAGCCGGACATCCCTTTCAGACAGCTTCCTCTTGGTCCACAATTAGTCCTGTTGGATGTGGTTCTTCTTCTTGGTGGTTTGCTGACATTACTCTGGATACCGTGGCTCTTAATAATCACAAGGACTTGCTGTCTTGGTCACAGATGCACTAGCGAGTCTTGCGCCATCAATTTGTCTTGTATTTGAACTCTGATATGTCACGCATATTGTTGTATGGATTGCAATATTTTAAGCAAATCTTCACACTCAGCTCCTTACTGGTGGAATGAGCAATCAATGAAGATTGGCCACCAGGCTGGTCAAAACCTCCAACACGTAACTGGCCAGTTTTTCAGTTTCATTATCCCACCCTTGCACATGATTCATTTGAGGCAAATCATGAGCATATATGGACTGAGATATCACACTTATGCTTATGATACCCAAATTTATATCAGCTTCAAATCTAATCCGTTACCTCCACAATGCTTTCCGAGTGTGAAGACCCCATTTTTTTTTCAAGAAATATCAAAGTCTTATACTTGAGAGCCAGGAGAATGGATGGAGGGCCTGGAATTTACCAGTAGAGGTGGGTTGTAGGGGGTTTGCGGGGCAGTCACTCTGGAGAGCCCTTGGGCTGCTGGGAATTGAAGGAATGGCCAGGAAACGGCTTATAGGAAAGGGCACTGAAGAGGCGGAAGCAACATCTCGCTGGATTTGGCTGCAAAGGGAGGTTCGGTGGAAAAGCCAAACTGTTGGAAAACAAAACATATCATAGAGTTGGGTGGTGGTCAGTAGGAGTTGGTCCAGGACGCTGGATCTGCTGTCGAGCCCTCCCAAGTTGTCATGGGCTTAAATCGTTGGAACAAAGAGGAAGGGGGGTGCCCATCTGATGACCGGCTGTAACCACCAACCCTTATAAAGAGTATATCCCTAACTCCCTAGCTGGTGCTGAAGGAAGAAAGGAGGGGGGAAGTATGCCACTGGCCCACAGTTGGTGCAGGGCAGAGTGCCTGTAAAAGTGGACCAGTTGCGATGGTCCCATCGTATTTTGCATAGTCACTAAGATAGCGATTTTAGAGGGTAGCTTTGTATTTCCATCTACTAATGCGTCAGATGATTTTTAATACTCATCTGACACCAGAGTATGTGAGGAGTGTAGCAGCTTAATTTCGGCCAAATCGCTGGGGTTTTCTCTTACTCAGAGCACGCTCCATCATAAACGCAACAGATACAGTTTTTAATCATTTGATATGTGATTGGGAGGGTATAAAAGAGGACAAGAACCAAGAACAGACCTTCTGTTTTGTGGAGGTCGCAAAGCTCAGCCGTCGTCGCTGTTGTCGCCATCATCTCCTATCTCCTGCCCCAGACTTCATCGCATTGGTGTTGTTTGACCCATTTCATTAAGCTTCCTTTTGCACTGTGCGATGCTTGCTTCTTCACCTGCCTATTACCGGCTGGCAGAGTCAGATTGTATTTTTTTTTACCTCCTTAGTTTACAAAGTTTTTTCAAACTGCTCGCCTTACTTTATTAGTGCCAGTGTTTTGGTTTACTTATAGCTGGTGTGTGGTGTGCAGTCTGGCACAAAATGGCTGCCGTCACATCATCCAGGTGGATGCCGCACACTGGTGGTGTATGAGGAGATTCCCCACTATGTGTAAAGCACTTTGAGTGCCCAGAAAAGTGCTATATAAATGTAATGAATTATTATTATTAGTATTATTATTAAAGTAGATTTCTGTTAGAGAATACTGAAGCAGTAGGTTGAGAATTGCCATTTAATTAGATTTCTCCTGGTTTTTAGGAAAGATTTCTGTAATTTTATTTGGGGTTCTTTGTTTTAGTAGGCAAGTTATATTATTTCCGCGTAAGTTAGTGGTCTATTTTGTTTATTATTTCAACCTGGATTCCCATCCGAAGAAATTAGCTTCCGAGAACTTTAATTGTAAAATAAACATTGTTATTTCTTGTTAAAACCTGTTGTGGTTACTGTGAGCTGGGACAGAAGAGGGGAAATCCCTAAATTCTATTATTTCATTATTTAAGTCAGTGGTCACCAAACTTGTTCCTGGAGGGCTGGTGTCCTGCAGATTTTTGCTCAAACCCTAATCAAACACACCTGAACAAGCTAATCAAGCTCTTACTAGGTATACTTGAAACATCCAGGCAGGTGTGTTGAGGCAAGTTGGAGCTAAACCCTGCAGGGACACCGGCCCTCCAGGACCAGGATTGGTGACCCCTGATTTAAGCTATGCTTTGTCACTGTTCTTACTAACTGTAGACTGGACGGGACGTAACAATCCTTTCAGCGAAGCCTGATTTTTTTGTGTTGGTCTGAAGTAGGATACACTGAACTGAGACTTATTAAATAAGAGTTGCTTATTAAAAAACACTGAACTTGCTGCAACTGAGATGGAGAGAATGAAAGCACACAGACACTGAGGCAAAAACAGTTATTTGTGTCGTAAATGTAGCAGTGATATGACAGGTTTGTTGAAAGCTCCTCCATATTCTGTTAGAAATGCTTTCACATTAGCCAGTTTCATGAAGCTGTCAATCCATATTTTCAAATTGGACTGTTGATTGGTACTCTATTGTGTTCTACTTGTTTATTTGCATTTGTATTTTTATTAGTTGTTCAATTTTGACTGTTGTATAATAGTGCATTATAAATAAATGTTTTACACCATTTTGATTCGTCAATTTCTGTATTCACCTTTTTGCCCAATATTTGTTGTTGTCTGCGCTTTCTCAATTTACCTCTTTAATTCCAGGGGTGCAATTTGGTCATCCTTTCCTTGCGTTTTTCCTTCACATCTTAACTCCACCCTTTACGGATATGAACAAAGGACAAAGAAAAAATGCGAGGACAGAGGAACAGAATCAAATGATATAGATCAGGGGTCACCAATCTCGGTCCTGGAGGGCCGGTGTCCCTGCAGGGTTTTAGCTACAACTTGCCTCAACACACCTGCCTGGATGTTTCAAGTATACCTAGTAAGACCTTGATTAGCTTGTTCAGGTGTGTTTGATTAGGGTTGGAGCTAAAATCTGCAGGACACCAGCCCTCCAGGAACAAGTTTGGTGACCCCTGATATAGATCAATGCTTTCTTTAGCATCACTTCAAAGCGTCATCATTTAATGAATACTCTTCACCACAGATTTTGTTTGCACATCAGGATTTTTCAATGGTTAGAGTTAATTATTTAGCGCCAATATTTCATTGCTACATATTATTACTGTAGATTTCATAAAAGGGGCAAAGTAAACATTCATAAAAAAGTTTTATTTCCAACTAGTTCAATTTGATTTGCTGTAAAACATAACCGAGTGTTTTTTACATGAGATACATACTGCTATTTGATTTGTGTTGAATAAGGGACTGTGCTGGGAAGATAAAGTCCTCTGATAACCCTTATAAGTGACTAACTAGTCCTATTCAATATTCTGATTGGGCTACAGCCAGTCCAAGCCCCAGTTTAGCACCGGCGTCACTGTTTTTGAACGGCAACGAACTGAAAGCAATACTTCACATTATCGACGAGAGAAAGCATAACGCAAACAGACATTTACAGCCTTCTTCCATGGGCCCTAGGGCTTCAGCCCCATCAAGCCCTTATGGTAATCCGGCCCTGGCTTGATGCTGATGCGCTGATCAGCTGCCGGTGTGAATCCCGGTTAATGCACGTTAAAAAAAATACGCAGCGCTCATGCATTGTGAAACCTGCATTACAGCATTTCATGCAGAAGTGTCGCACAGTGAGTTTTGCAAGTTGACAAAACTAAAATTTTATTTTATTTTTCAAAACTTAATTTGATTAAACAATATGAAGCAGAAATGAGGGATGACAAGTCAGGGAGGTAAGATTTAAGTTCTCCATGAGACGGGCTTCTGTAAGGTTCTCGTCTCCACAGAAGAACGCTGGAGCTCAGACAGAGTGACCATCGGGTTATTGATCACCTCCCTGACTAAGGCCCTCCTCCCCTGATCACTCAGCTTAGATGGCCAGCCAGCTCTAGGAAGAGTCCTGGGACCTCATGCACGAAGACTTGCGTGGAAATCATACTAAAACATTGAAAACAGAAAAAAATTCAGATGTATGAAACACTGCGTACGCCGAATCCCACGCATATTCTTTTGTACATCTGAATGAATGTGAAACTGAGCGCAACATGCACGAACACAAAACCCCTCCCTGCCTCCGCCCCCGTATGAATATGCTAATGACTCTACTTTGGCAAAACCCAACGAAAAAGCAATGGCAAAAGCAAGCAAGAAGAGAAACTCAGAACAGAATGTGAAATGGAGGTGCTGCTTTCGGAGGTAGAGCGGCAGAAAACGGTGTTATTTGCAAGTTTGTCCTCCGGAATTAACAACAAAAGAAAAAAAATAGAGTGGGAGAGTTTAGCTGATGCGGTTAACACAGTTGAGTCTGAACATCGCACTGTGGAGTTAAAAGAGGAATAGTGTGATTTATAGGTGTAAAATGTTGCAGTACCCTTAGCAGTCTCAGTGGCGCAGCTCGTGAAACGCATGTCAACATGTTTTGACACGTTCGAGCATGAACTCGGTTCGAATCCAGCGTCTGATAAACTCATTCTTCTTTTTTCCCCCGCTACATATCAGATTTTGCTACTATTTATCACGAGAAAGACAAGTAGGAATCATCAATAAGTCTGTGCATCATATTTTATTTGCATATTTATTGAATGGAAATGTTTCTGACTCACGTATGCAAATTCATCTTCAGATAGTGTCTTTATAGTAATGTGCGTGCAGTAGATCGCTCCCATTATATTGGGAAAACCGGCGACCGCTGCAAATTGCGCTTTAATGTTTGGCTGGTCAACTGTATGGTATGGAAACCTTATATACCTGCTAGATGAACCCGTCTCATACAGCTGCCATTGCAAGGCTCAGACACTTTGTAGAGAGCAATTTAACACAACTGCCTCTAGGAGTCGCCAACGGAAATAAAACAGACACGCACAAAAAATGTGCGTACGCCAGCCATAAAACTGGCGTGGAGCTGCGCACATTCCCACGTTCAGTTCATCGTTAGTAAATCAAAATGTGAGCGATTCTGAGGCTGAAACCTGGCGTACGCAAAGTTTTTGTGCTTACGCAGCGTTGATACATGAGGCCCCTGGTGGTTCCAAACATTTTCCACTTCCACATAATACTAAACTAAATATTATCTGATTCACCTTACATTAATGTGCGTCAATATGTTGTACTCATTATTTTCAGTGTCTTTTCAGTTTTCAACATTTGCTCAGCGATTATGGCTTACTAAAAACTGAACTTTTATTTTTATTTCAGACCTAATTGAAGAGAATGAGAAGAGTGAAGAGGAGAAACAACATGTCCAAGCTGAAGAAACACCTAATTTAGAGACTTCTGATGTTAATTTTAAGAACAGAAGAGGCATGAATTGTTGCGTCTGCACTCAGTGTGGGAAGAGTTTCGGTAGTTCATCAAACCTTAAAAGACACATGATGATCCACACTGGAGAGAGACCTTTAACCTGCACTCAGTGTGGGACGAGTTTCCGTAATTCATCAAACCTTAAAAGACACATGATGATCCACACTGGAGAGAGACCTTTAACCTGCACTCAGTGTGGGACGAGTTTCAGACTATTATCAGCTCTTAAACAGCACATGAGGATTCACACTGGAAAGAAACCATTCACGTGTACTCAGTGTCAGAAGAGTTTTAGCCAATCATCAAACCTTAAAAAGCACGTGATAGTCCACAATGGAGAGAGACCACACAAATGTGATCAATGCGGCAAAACATTTTTGAGAGATTTACAGCTGAAGGACCATCTTAGAGTTCATACAAAGGAGAGACCGTATTACTGTTCTGAGTGTGGAAAGAGTTTTACACAGCAGGCAAATTTAAGACGACATAAGAAGATCCACACTGGTGTGAGAGAGCATATGTGCTTTGAGTGTGAGAAGACTTTTACTACAGCTGCAGAATTGAAAGTGCACCAGAGGATTCACACTGGAGAGAAACCGTACAAGTGTTCACACTGCAAGAAGAGATTCAGTCAGTCAGGAAGCCTGAAAGCACATCAAATAATTCACACTGGAGAGAAACCGTACATGTGTTCACACTGCGACAAGAGATTCAGTCAGCCGTTACACCTGAAAACACATGAGAGGATTCACACTGGAGAAAAACCGTACAAGTGTTCACACTGCAACAAGCAATTCAATCAGTCAGTACACCTAAGAACACATGAGTTGGTTCACACTGGAGAGAAGCCGTACAAGTGTTCACACTGCAACCATCGATTTACTCGGTTAGCATATCTAAAAACACATGAGAGGAGTCACACTGGAGAGAAACCGAACACATGTGATCAGTGTCTAAAGAGTTTCACACATTTGTCTACTCTTAAGAAGCACATGAAAATCCACAGTGGAGAAAAGCTGAATAAATGACATCAATGCAGCAAAACCTTTCTCGTGTGCTGAGGGTGTTTCATCTCTGAATATCATAAAACATTCTTGGGAACAATCACTCTGAAATTAGATAGGTCTGTCATGGTTTTTCCTCAGCGTTCTTACTTGGGTCCTCCAGAATGATTCGGTGGCACTTGGCAGTGATGCACCCATCTAGCACAAGTATTGGGCCTAGGGAATGCCATGATATTGCTGTTCAAACTATCACTGATTCACTCGCAATGCTTTACTCTAGACATGAAACAGTGCTTTCTTTTGTGGCTTCTCCCCACCCTACCTTTCCCAGATGTGGGAGAGACCGTGAATGTGGATGCATCAGAGAACAATACATGTTTCACATTGTCCACAGCCCAAGATCTTTTCTTCTTGTACCAATGTTTTGGCTTTGTCACGAGTGACCCAAGTTTTGGCTATAGCAGCCCGGCCATATATATTGACCCTGTACATTGACCCTGATCAACAATTTGGGTGGAAGCAGGAGAGTTGAGGTGCACATTTAGTTCTGCAGTGAGTTGGGAAGCTGTGTTTTTTACTTCATTTTTTTTTATATAGTCAATGTCAGAAGCCGGACATCCCTTTCAGACAGCTTTCTTGTTGTCCACAGTTACTCCTGTTGGATGTGGTCCTACTTTATGGTGGTTTGCTGATATTACTCTGGATACCGTGGCTCTTAATACGTCACAAAGACTTGCTGTCTTGGTCACAGATGGGTCAGCAAGACTAGCACCAACAATTTGTCCTGTTTTTGAACTCTGATATGTTACACATAATGTTGTGTGCTTTGCAATGTTTTAAGCAAATCTGTGCTATTACTCTGCTTATTAAACCTTTACTTTTACACTCGTTCTTACTGGTGGAATGTGCAATCAATAGCCGCATTTCCACTATCGGGCCGGGCCAATAGCCCGGGAGGTTGAGAAATAAGGCCGAAATTATGTCGCGTTTCCACTGTCGGGCTAGTAGCTCACAGCGCGTCACGCAAACACCGCCCACAGAACGTCCCCGAATCAAACATCACACAACCCGCCCACTTCAGCGGGAATTAGGCAGATAAAGCACACCATAGAATCATCACGAAACGAAACCATTAAAATGAAGACAACCGAAACAAACAAATGACACGTTACTGAACAGCAGTACATGAAGTGTCTATACACACAGACCTGTGTATTTACATTCATTACATTTGTTTACTCGCCGGCCTACTGTTGGCATTGTACATCGAGTGCTCTCCTCACAAACGGAGGGACCCAACACAGAGAGCGCACCCGTCCATAATATAAAGCCACACAAATTCTCCTTTATAACTCGATATGGCATGTATTTTGTAACATCCTCGTTTTGATAGACGTCTTGTTAAGTGTTTCAGCACAAGAGCGAGTAGCCTAATAAAATATAGCCATATTTGTTGCGCTCAGCAGCTATTCACTAAAGCTCTACATTTAAATTTTTTATTATAAATTTAACCACGTCATATAAAAACAAACACTTGTTTGAGGATATAGAACACATTTTGTGTTTGGGCTTTCCCCCAATGCGTTTAAAGAAGCGAGTGCTGCGCAGGACTGAGTGACAGAAAAAAAGGTAGGCTAGATTCTGCATTCACTCACCCAAATAATGCTCTGTTTGCGCGATTTGATTAATATCATCGCATCCAAATACTTTATAAATAATATTTCAAACCTTCTCCGGTGTTTATTATTTTTAGAAAATATCGAAAATCTTTTTTTTTCAGATAGGTCTTTGTAAAATGAAAGTTAGGCTATATGTGGCTTTAAAACGGTTTGATTTATGTATTGTATATAGGCTACCTACATATAGCTAGCTTTTGTTTATTTTATATTGGTTTATTTATTTAATGCGATTTTATATATATATATCCAATATTTGTAATTCTTTAAATTATATTTCAATATAGCTTAGGTTATTTTATCAAGATATGACACTATATTGTTTAAAGTCTACGAAAGTGGGCACGTAAATTAAGTTTTATGTCTTTCTGCTGTATTTATATTGTGTATTATCTCTAAAATAAATAAAGAAAAAAGCCGCTCGTGGCATCAACAGAGCTGTGAAGGAGCGCTCTTGCCTGGTCTTACACACACATACAGGCATCTAAACGCGCACAAAACAAACATTTTAAACTTGACAAAAACTCTCAAAAACCTTTACTGTCTGCTGTGTTTTTATGGTGTAAAGATTATTATGCGTTATTGAAACATAAAGGAGGACACAGAAAAAAACGTCACTATAAATTACTTAATTATTTTATGCAGCAGCCTTACATTTAAAAGGGAAACATAAGGGTGATCATACGCAAAAAGACCCCAGACTATAAGGCCAGATGTTTTCTTTCCCTTATTTCTTTATTTGTTTGGCGCATGTACTCATGTGCGATCAGAAAACTGCCCGCCTCTCCTTTCACTCCGCCCCGAAGCCCCAGCTGGCCCTCCTTGGCCCAAGGTATTCGGCGGGCCGAAAAAGGCTGGCCGCTGGCCCCAAGAAAGCCCCGCTTTGGCCCGATTAGGCCCCGGAAGTGACAGTGGAAACACGACTGGCCTTGGCTTGCCCTGGCTCGCTCGCTTTAGGCGCGATAGTGGAAACGCGGCTAATGAAGATTGGCCACCAGGCTGGTCAAAACCTCCAACACTGAATTGGCCATTCAGTTTCATTGTCCCACCCCTGCATATTCTTTCCTTTGGGTCAAATCATCAGCAAATATGGACCAAGATATCACTTTTATACTTATGATTTCCTAAATTTTTATCAGGTCCAAATCTAATCTGTTACCTCCACAATGCTTTCAGAGTGTGTGTAAGGAACTAAAATGTAGACGCACACCAATTTCTGTATTTTTTTATTTAAATTGTCTTAAAACAGAGGTGGTACTTATTACACCAGCAGCTAGTCGGAAAGATTGCAATTTCGGATGGCAGCATTGTATTTCCATCTACTCAAGCTCGTAACTTTGGAGTGATTTTTCGCTCACTCCATGCACGCTCCATCATAAACACAACAGATGCCGTTTTTAAATCATTTGATATATTTAACTAACAAAACAACCAGGCCTTTTTCATTCTGAGAATTAGCTATTATTAGCCTAGTCCTTAACGATAAACGATACAATTATAAAAATAGAATGTACGTAACACAACACTGTCAAAAACAAAACTATTATATCTAAATCTATAGGCTTATAAAAGTCAACACAGGCGCCTCATCATAACATCTCCGTGGTCACCGCACGTGCATCTGTTTAAGTGAAGTTTATTTATAAACTAATTTCGAGAGGAGCAAGCGCTTATGATTGATAGCACCTGGTCCACATTTGCTAACACTGATTTACCGACTGATTTAAGGAGTCAGACGACTCCTTAACGACTATAAACAACCAGAGTATCTTACTTCAGCCATCTTTGTCTTGAAGAATCCCCCCTTCCACCCCTACTCCTCCCATTTCCTTGTCAGGGCAGCAACGCGTAGGTTGCGCCGTAGCATATGCGCGCACTTGACGCAAAAGTATAATTAACCCTAAGTTGGCAGTTCGTTCCGCTGTGTCAACCCCAGATTAATAAAGGGACTAAGCCGAAAAGAAAATGAATGAATGATTTAACTGTTTACTGCAGTGAATAAATTAATAAAATGAAAACATAAACATTCAAAAGTACACTTGCTGCAAGACAAATAGCCTGTGTACTTCAAAAGATTTAACAATTTGCTATCATGAATTGCTCTATTTTAAAATACTACATTTGTACCAGGTATATTTTAAATACGATTAAATTATAGTACAGCATAATATTTAGGGTATTTAATGTACTTTGATATGCTGTATTGGATCAACATCAAGTATACTTTGACTAGGCTATACAGCAGCACATGCAGTAAATATGAAGTTTACTTCTTTTACTGCAGTTACTTCTGCAAATTGTACTGTAGTTGACCTGTTTCATTATATTTCAATTTGGTAGTTGCAATTAATTTTACTGCAGTTATTCTACTACTGCAGTTTTACCTCAGTTTGCTGCAGTTATTTTTTGTAAGGGCGGGAACGGGCTTCTATTGAAATCCATTCACACTCCAGCACAGAAGGTGGCGATATGCACCTAAACGTTGGTTTGCAACTCGTCAATGAACCCGAAGAAAAAGAAGTAAACAGTGAGAAGTGAGACGATTTGGTCGCATTCAAGTAAGTTTGTTTTGTTAAATCACGCCCTTTGTAATGTCCTCAAGCCATAATCTTGTTGATTAAGTAGTGACGACCGTTAGTATTAAACTGCCGCCTGATTTAAATGAGGTAAAGTTGGTTTATATTGGTTCAGTGAACGATCTTTTGAAATCTCCCTGTGTTTTTATCACAGTACTTTGAATATTCAGTCTGAAATCACATGCAAGTTTGTCTTCGAAACAATAGCGTTATTTGTTTGACTGAACAATGTTGTAGTTTAATCATTGGTTGTTATAATTTCACTGTTTATAATTAGCAGAGAACGTTGCATTTCTGAAATGATTATTAAGGAGATAGTCCGAATGTGTCAAAAATAAACCATCTTTATTAGAGGTAAAGTTGGTTTTATATTCACACATTCGTTCATTTAGCAGTCTATATATTGTTTACTATGTTACTTTGAATATTCGATCGGAATTAGCATGCAAGTATGACTTGAAAACAACATTAACACTGTTTATTTGACTGTGAACAATGCTGTACTTTGATAGTCATTGGCTGCTAATATGATTTCCCTGTTTAAAATTTGCAATGAATACTTTTCTGAAATGATAAGGGGAATGTCTGAAAATCCGAATATAAAACCAACTTTACTTCTATCCAACTTTACCTCAATCAAGATTTATTAGTGCATCAGTTGTAACGTTAGATAGAAGTAAAGTTGGATTTACATTTGAATATTCAGACGTTCCTCTCAATAAAGTATTCTTAATAGGGAAATCATATTAGAAGCAAATTACTATCACATTACAACATTGTTCACAGTGAATTAGATAGTGTTACTGTTGTTTAGAAGTCATACTTGCATGCTAATGCTGATCGAATATTTAAAGTAACATGGTAAACAATACAGAGACTGCTAAATGAACGAATATAAAACCAGCTTTACCTCCGTTGGTACTTTTGAATATTAGGCCTAAAATAAATCATAAAATAATCACATGTAAGAATCAAAACAACATCAACACTGTTTATTTGACTGTGACCAATGTTGTACTTTGATAGTTGTTGGCTGCTAATATGATTTTACAAATGTTATTTAGAATTTACAAAGAATGTTTTTCTGAAATTAGATTAAGGAGAAAGGCTGAATGTGTGAATATAAAACCAACTTTACCTCAATACTTCTCTAAAGATCTCAAAATCTAAACAATTGTTCTGCTATTATACTCGCTTTATAAAATTGACATAAACATGCTGACAATGGGATATTAAGCATCAGAATTTGTTGAAATATCAAAATTATAAATAGTGAATGAGCAAATAACACTTCTTTTTGAAACGGGTAGAAACTTTCACTGCTCAGTGAACAAATGTAAAGTTATTAGCATTCGCTGAAAACCACAACATTGATTAATCGTAACATTCTACTGCTGCTGATTTTAAATATGTGGTTTCTCATTGTGTTCACATCATTTAATGTAAGATAATCTAAAGTAGCGCCTTTTTATTTATCATCCCAATAGTCAACTTTTGAAGTGGATCAAAATAGTCCTGTGAATGTGTTCAACAAAAACATAAAAACATATTATGGTGGTGTGCTTTTAGCTTAAGCTTTGTATTGTTGTGACTTGGATGAGGATCAGAACACATTTTCTGGGAAATTATGCCAAAATCCAAGCAATCCCAAAGGGCTCACATACTGTAACTGTGTGTAACATTTTTTTACATTTTGTTTGGTTTTAGTTTTGGCAGATCTGCTCCTCCTTCAGTGAAGCTTCTCCTCCTCTGCTACAAAAACTGGGATATTCTCATCAGGAAGAAGAGAAATCTGCAAAGACAGAGCCTATTGAAGGACGGAGAAAACATGAGTGATCCAGAACCCTGCAGAATTAAACAGGAAGAGGCTGAAGAACAAATAGGTTGGTGTTTATTGCTGATTCTTCAATAATGAGGCTGAAGAACCATAATGATGAAAGTTTTGAAAAGTTCATCTGAATTATTGTACTACGACAAAATCAGTGAAGATTTTAAATAAAGCCACTGAAAAGTAAATACACTTCATAATCACACGGTAGAAAATAGGGTCTGAAGCTCATTGTCATCATGTTTTGATCAAATGTTTAGTAAAAGAAGGTTTAATGAACACTAAATATGATAAGACTAGTGGTCGACCGATATGGATTGTTTGCTGATATATATGATACATTGGAAAGCAGGGTGGCCGATATTTAGGCAATATAGCTTAATAATTAAATTAAAATAGAATTAAATGTAAAATAATTAGAAAATTAATAAATAAAAAAATAATAATAAACATGTGAAATGAACTCAGACACACACACACATCAAATAAGTATTGAACACATCACATTTTTTCTTAGAAAACATATTTCTGAAGATGCGGTTGACTTGAAATTTTCACTAGATGTTGGTGACAACCAAAGAAATTCATATATGCAAAGATGATGAAACTAGGGTGGACGTTTCAGCAAAGCAACGATCCAAAACACAGTTAAGAAAACTCAAATACATTCAGAAAAAAAGTCAAGCTGTAGAATTGCCCAGCCAATCACCTGACTCGAATCCAGTATAAAACACAAATTAAAGATCAGATTAGATAGACGAGACCCACAGAACCATCAAGATTTCCATACTCTGAAGTCTGAAAAAATCACACTTGAGCAATGCATGTGACTTAATTCTCCTTATGAGAGTCGTCTTCTAGTTGCCATCACCAAAAAAAGCCTTTTATATGTATGTATGTATATATATATATATATATATATATATATATATATATATATATATATATATATATATATATATTAAGTATTAATTTCTTCTCAGTAATTCTTGCTAAACCAACAAAAACTGACCTTTTTACCTTTATTTCAGACCTAATTAAAGAAGGCGAGGAGGGTGAAGAGGAGAAACAACATGTCAAAGCTGAAAATGTGCCTCAATTACAGACTTCCGATGTTTATCTTAAGAACAGAAGAGGCAAGAATCCTTGTATCTGCACTGAGTGTGGGAAGAGTTTCAAACGATTATCATCTCTTAATCAACACGTCATGATCCACACTGGAGAGAAACCATTCACCTGCACTCAGTGTGGGATGAGTTACAGTCGATTATCATATCTTAAAAATCACATGAGGATTCACACTGGAGAGAGACCGTTCAAATGCAATGAGTGTGGGAAGAGTTTCACACAATCAACATATTTTAATCGACACATGATGATCCACACTGGAGAGAGACCATACAAATGTGATCAATGCGGCAAAACTTTTTTGAGCTCCTCACAGCTGAAGGTCCATCTTAGAGTTCATACGAAGGAGAAACCGTATTACTGTTCTGATTGTGGAAAGAGTTTTACACAGCTGGCAAATTTAGGAAAACATCAGAAGATCCACACTGGTATGAAAGAGTATATGTGCTTTGAGTGCGAGAAGACTTTCATTACGGCTGGAGAATTGAAAGTGCACCAGAGGATTCACACTGAAGAGAAACCGTACACGTGTTCACACTGCAACAAGGGATTTGGTCAGTTAGGAAGACTGAAAGCACATCAAATGATTCACACTGGAGAGAAACCGTACAAGTGTTCACACTGCGACAAGGGATTTTGTCAATTAGGAAAACTGAAAACACATCAAATGATTCACACCGGAGAGAAACCGTACAAGTGTTCACACTGCAATAAGGGATTTCATGTGTTAGATCATCTGAAAATGCATGAGAGGATTCACACTGGAGAGAAACCGTACAAGTGTTCATACTGCGACAAGAGATTCAGTCAGTCAGGGGGTATGAAAACACATGAGAGGACTCACACTGGAGAGAGACCGTACACCTGTGATCAGTGTCTGAAGAGTTTCACACGTTTGTTTCATCTTCAGAAACACATGAAAACCCACAGTGGAGAGGAAATGCACACATGACGTCAATACAGCAAAACATTTCCTTGTGTTCACAAGGTTTTTTATGTCTGAACATCAGATAACTTTCTTGGGAATCAATCCCTTTGAAATTAGACTGGTCCACTGTGGTGTTCCTCAGGGATCTGTCTTAGGTCCCATACTGTTTAGTATCTACAGAGGTTGGACAATGAAACTGAAATCCCTGGTTTTAGACCACAATAACTCATTAGAATGATGTACGGCCTCTCTTGGATGTGGGAACGACGGTGAAGGTGGACTTACCTGAGAACAACATATGATTTACATTGTCCACAGCTCAATATTTTCGCCGGTGGCACCATTGAAACCGATGTTTGGCAATTGGTACGAGTGAGCAAAGGTTTGACTATAGCAGCTCGGCCATGTATATTGACCCTCTGGAGTTCCCGACCAACTGTTTTGGTGAAAACAGGAGAGTTGAGGTGCACATTCAATTCTATAGTGACTTGGGCTAAGAAGGGTTGCAGCCCTTCAAGCCGCAACCCATCACTGGGAAACATCCATACACGCTACGGTCAAATTTAGCATACCCAATTCACCTATACCACATGTCTCTTGGACTTGTGGGGAAAACCGGAGCACCCGGAGGAAACCCACGCGAACATGGGGAGAACATGCAAACTCCACACAGAAATGCCAACAGACCTAGCCGAGGCTCAAATCAGCGACCTTCTTGTTGTGAGGTGAACGTGCTACCCACTGCGTCACCCCAAAACCATTAACTTATAAAACATAAACATAGCCTACCTTTTAAATTGTTCTAGTGTGTTGGGAGTCGAGACATAATCCATTAAAAGTTCTATTAAAATTAATTCATTTTCCACAACAGTTTTATCTGCACAGGATAATATTACCCAGGTAAAAGTTAAATTCTCTAGCTTTTACATACAACAGTTCTGTCTGGTTCTCAAATCTGATTGGCTGATAGCGGTGCAATATCAGAACTCCTACAGTCTCCTCACCCTTCTATATTACTCCGCCCACATAGAGTGACAGCAGATCAATCAGTCACTACAGTTTGACAAATATAGCAGCTGTTGGGCAACATCATGTACTGTTGAGGCTTTTTAGTTGAGAATGTGGCTAAACTACTAGTGGAAATCCATTTACAAAATAACGTAAACTTGACTGAGTGCTTCATTTCCCCTTTAACATTAACTGTAAACGTATCCCTTATAATATTAATGACTCCTTACATTTATATAGCGCTTTTCTGGGCACTCAAAGCACTTTACACATAGGGGGTAATCTCCTTATCCACCACCAGTGTGCACTGTGCGACGGCAGCCATTTTGCGCCAGATCGCACACCACACAGAGTGATGAGGCCAGTTATGATATGCGGATGGTAAGGAGGCCATGATAGACAAAGGCCACTGGGCAGATTTGGCCAGGATGCCGGGGTTAAACCACTACTCTTTTTCGAAGGACATCCTGGGGTTTTTAATGACCGCAGAGAGTCAGGACTTCGGTTTAACATCTCATCTGAAAGACGGCGCTCACTGAGCAGTATAGAGTCCCTGTCACTATACTGGGGCATTAGGACCCACACATACCGCAGGTTGGGCGCCCCCTGCTGGCCTTACTAACACCACTTCCAGCAGCAACCTAGCTTTCCCATGTGGTCTCCCATCCAGGTACTGACCGGGCGCAGCCCAGTTTAGCTTCAGTGGATGACCATGTTAGAGTTGCAGAGAGCTAGCTGCCGGCAATTCTAGCTGCCCTTAATTCTTATTGGCTGATTGGGATGTTGTTCCAGGATCAGCATAGATGTGAATCCAGGAACATGTCCTACTTGATGAAATCACACTAACCGACAAGCAATACGAATCGTCAAGAAGAGATGAGAAGAAGAGATCTTTGGTAAAGATGTTTGAGTGACTATTAATTAAAATCTAGCTGACTGAAAGGGATCTAAATGCGGTTTCTGTTATTTTTCATCTGCAACATCAATGTGAACTTCTAAAGATGTACTAAGAGTCTGAATTACACTTCTGCTTTGAGTAATCACTGTAAACCGCAGTGCTCTGAATCGGGCTCAGGCACGGTTCACTTGGCCGACCCTGGTTCGGTTGGAATGAGGTGTGCCTAAGCGCGGTTCACTTGGGCTTTGGCGCGGTACGCTTGTGTGTGAGTGCAGAGCGTGCCTAAGCCCGAAACTGAAAGCGCTTTTACAAGACTGTTTGATATAGATTGAATAATCATTCTTACTGCGTCTTTAATATGTAGCTGATTAAAGATGCAAACCCCGTTACTGTACCTTCAGCAAACCACCTAATTCCTGCAGCATGAGGACTTTGATTGTTTATGAGTGTCAAAAGTGGCGGATGTATTCGGCTCATGTTTTCCTCAAAACTGGCTAGCAGTCACTGTGTGTTTTACATCTTTCAAAATGATTTCATCTTTTATCCTAGAAGACGATAATCACATCAATATAAGATTTCACGTTCAGATTTTTTAAATAAAAAAATATCGACTATAACAAATATACTTTTATGCTGCATAAATGGTTTCTCCTGTGTTTCTCTTACAAATTTCGCAGAACTTTTTCAATAATTGGCAGGAAGACATCTGCTGACATTGTGGTGAAAACTTCAGAAGCATGCCATGGCTAACCCTGAGCAAATACCTTAAAACTCTGTGTTACATTTAACCCCGCATTACTTTGTGCCCCGCGCTCTTCTACTTTCCAGAAAAACATCTCTTAAAAACAAGAACAAAATACTGTTGATGAAGTACAAATCCCTCAGAGCAAGTGCAATACAACTGTGGGCTACTTACCATGACTATACAGCAGCACAGTAATATACAGTGCAGTAAGTATGTAGTTTACTTTTGTTTTACTCCAGTTGTACTTCAGTGTACTGCAAATTGTATCGCTTTTGAACTTAATTGTACTCCTTATATTTAAATTTTGCAGTTGCAATTCATTTTACAGCAATTATTCCTCTATATACTGCTGTTCTACTGCAGTTTTACCTCAGTTTACTGCAGTTATTTATAGAGGTAAAGTTTTTTTTATTCACACATTCGTTCATTTAGCAGTCTCTATATTGTTTACCATGTTACTTTGAATATTCGATTTGAATTAGCATGCAAGTATATACTTGCAAGTATAATTTGTAAAGAATACTTTTCTGAAATGATATTATTATGGAGAATGTCTGAATATCTGAATATAAAACCAGCTTTACTTCTATCTGTTATTTTTTGTAAAGGCGGGAACGGGCTTCCCTTTAAATCCTTTCTCTCTCCAGCACAGGAGGCGGCGATATGCACCTAATGTTGATTTGCAACTTGTCAATGAACCCAAAGAAGAGGAACAGTGCAGGCTGTGAGAGAAGTGAAGTGAGGCGATCCAGTCCAGCTGTATTGTGTGTACGTGCGTGCATTCAAGTAAGTGAGCTTGTTTTATATTCGGATATTCAGACAGTCTCCTTAATAATATATATTTCAGAAAAGTATTCTTTGCAAATTCTGAATAGGGAAATCATAGCAGCAAATGACTATCAAAATCCAGCATTGTTCACAGTGAATTTGATAGTGCTAATGTTGTTGAGAAGTCATACTTGCATGCTAATTCTAGTCGAATATTCAAAGTAACATGGTAAACAATATAGAGACTGCTAAATGAACGAATTTGCGAATATAAAACTAACTTTACCTCTATGCACAAGTGTGTGTGGATCAAATAGAGGTAAAGTTGGTTTTATATTCGCACATTCGTTCATTTAGCAGTCTCTATATTGTTGACCATGTTACTTTAAATATTTGATGAATATTCTGCATACCTGTCAAAATTGGGATGTGAAAATAAGGGATATGCCCACCATAATAAGGGATTCCCCCGACCCCCATTGTAAATAAACAGTTAAACAGTCGGTAATATGTTTTACTATTATTATTTACAAAAGAAAAAAATAAACATATACATTAGCAGCAAATACATTAGCAAACAGGTCAGCTTATTAAAACTAATAGCTATTATAATAAAATAGAATCAAGCTATCATTAGCCGTTTCTTCACTGCATAACATACACATTCTTATTTAAGAGCAACGAATGAATGATTTATTTAATTTTTTTTATTTGATTGCATTAAATAACAGAGGTGTCACTTCAAAAATGCACACATCTTACAAAATATGAATGCATTCGTCTGCTTTCCTGACTGTTTTGCTCATTTAGGATGAAATTACTTTTGTTTGAAAAAAATCCCACCAAGATCAACATCTTTAGATATTATTATTATTAATTATGTGTAAATGTCTGTTTAAACACGCACCCAAAATCTAGACTTTTGCTCCGATTCAAATTGCGAGTACAGAGTCCGTTTGGGAAACAGCGTCTATTTTATTACTATGGAGCGCGTCAGCTGACAGTCACGCAGGGGAGACAGCACCTGTACTGAAACGAAAGGGAATCGCGCCGTTTTTATGTTTATTTCAAAGTGTTTTCATGCATAAAGTGAAAGCAAAGAAGAGACTCGCATTTAAGAGCAAGAGGCGGCCCCTGGTGGTTCGGCGGTATGGGTTGTGTATAGGAAGGCTCTGCTCTTTAATGTTTATTTGCCATCCTTCAGAGAAAGACTGAAAATACGGTAAAATACCTTTACGGGATGATAGCGAGATAGAACTGTAAAATATGGGAGAATCTCAGGAAAACAGGAGGGTTGACGGGTATGATTCTGTGGCCAACTCGTCCTGTAAGCCTGTGATTAATAATGGAAATTTTAAAACAATGACAAAAACAAACAGGACTGGTATAAATAATGGTAGATAATGATAAAAAGTTAACAGGAAACCGATGTAGTTCTTCGCCATGTTTGTGAACAAAGCCCATAGTACAAAACATTTTTTGTTTGTTTTGGCAGATCTGCTGCTTCAGTGAAGCTCCTCCTCCTTCAGTGAAGCTCCTCCTCCTCAGCTATAAATACCGGAATATTCCCATCAATCCACGTTAAAAGAGACAAGCATATCAGACCATCAGGAAGAACTGAGTTTATTTTAGGACAGAGCGAACATGAGTGATCCAGAACCCTGCAGAATTAAACAGGAAGACGCTGAAGAACAAATAGGTTGGTGTTTATTGCTGATTCTTAAATAAGGACAACAAATATATTAATGTAATATAATAAATAAATATAGCAAGAATTGTGCTCACCACTGTGGGAATATACTAGTTCCAAATGAACAATTATATATCAAAAAACACTTTCATTGTCTTGTAATCTGCATTTATTTTTACCTAATTATCACAACAACTCTTATATGATTTGTTCAGTGATTTATTTGTAGTCTTCCTTAGCGCGATGCTAATTTGCGCTGATTGGACTAAAACGTTGTCGTACACCACTCCCGCCATAAGAGTACCCTTGGTACCTTTTAGCAGTGGAAACATAAGCCTGATAAAGGTTACCTGTACCGTACTGTACCTCTCAGTAGAAACGGGCCAAGAGAGATAGTTCATGGCTTTCACAGTTTGTTTTTGCGTCAATGCTTGACAGAGGGTGTGTCTAAAGTTGGGGCGATCGTCATAGCAGTGTCAGCCAATGAAATTAGTCCGCAATCGGTTACTGTCTGAGCTGTGAAATTTCTGTTGTTGCTTAAAACAACAGCGAGCAACGCCACTGAAGCGGCACAAACTGATCCACAATTCAGTTCGGCAACGCTTGACATCACCCATTCCAAGTGAATGGGAGGCGTTGATGCTGATGCCCCATGTAAATGGGCCTTAAGTTTGCAAGGTTTGTGGAATTAAACGTCCATTAGTCATTCAATCATATGTTTAAATGCTATGCGAATTGGCCAGACAGCAAATGAGAAGGTATTGTTTGACTTAATTACTAATTAAAGCAATCATTCATTATATTGTACCCACTTTAATTGCTGAGTTTAAGCAGTTCTGTTTATGCCTTGGTTTATATTTCTGCGTCAAGTGATTGGCGTGACCCACGGCGCATGCAAAGCTCGTAGCTGTGCATTCATACTTCTGCGTGCTGTTTCTGTTGCTCTGCAATTACACTTCTGAAACGCTAGCAGGCAGTAAGGTGTTTATGTTCCTCTGTGTCGAATTTCTACGCTGGTGTTTAGTTTTTTTCTGAACACTTCCTTAATGTACTAGTGGTTCAACTTCCTCATTTTGAGGCAGGAATCGGGGGACAACTTTAATCACAAGGTAAACCCAAAACAAAACTTTTCATCTGGAGCTTCTTCATGGGACTCGACGCTTTCAAACAGTCGCTCCAATGAACTTGCGCGGCTCCCTGTCCCACCTACACTCGTCAGAGCTACCAGACCGACCAATCACAGAGCTTGCGCTACGCGTTGTTATGATGTGTAGTTCCATTTTTTGAGAGGTGCGCGTCAGCGACGGCAAGGGCCATGCGTCCAACCGTAGGCTGCGCCGTAGCATATACGAATGCGCTTGACCCAGAAGTATGAATCAGCCTTAATTATTTATACTTGGTATTAGACAGAACTTATTGAATGACCGAATTGGACAATGTGCTTCAATAGCAAGGGAGAACAAAATCACAGTGTGCACAGCCTAACGATGTCGAATAAAAAAAGTACCATCATGATATATTAGTCGACCACTACTAAAATGATCTTATTTATGTGTATCATAAGTAGTCAAAATTGTGGTCAATGTAAATGTCCCTGCTGAAAAATCCAGCTTAAACCAGCCTAAGCTGGCTGGCTGATTTTAGCTGTTCGACCAGCCTGTTTTTAGAGGGGTTTTGGCCATTTCTAGGCTGGTTTCTAGGCTGGTTTGACCAGCCTGGTTTAAGCTGGACATAGCTGGTTTTGGATGGACAGCTTGGCTAGGCTGGTCAAGCTGGTTTTAGCTGTTCATCTCTTAGCCTGACAAACTATGACCAGACTGGAAATGGCTGGAAACCAGCCTGGAAATGGCCAAAACCCTTCTAAAACCAGGCTGGTCGACCAGCTAAAACCAGCCAACCAGCCTAGGCTGGTTTAAGCTGTATTTTTCAGCAGGGGTGTATTCAATGTTTTTGGTGCCTTTTCACTCTTAGATATTTTAGATTTTCTAAAAACTGAACTTTATTTTACGTTTATTTCAGACCTAATTGAGGAGCATGTGGAGATTAAAGAGGAGAAACAATATATCAAAGCTGAAGAAACACCTCAGTTAGAGACTTGCGATATCAACAGAAACAGCAGGAATCGATCCATCTGCACGCTGTGTGGGAAGAGTTTCAGTAAGTCGTCGTTCCTTAATAATCACATGAGGATTCACACTGGAGAGAAACCGTACACATGTGATCAGTGTGGGAAGAGTTTCAGACAATCATCACACCTTAATCGACACATGATGATCCACACTGGAGAGAGGCCACACAAATGTGATCAATGCAGCAAAACATTTTTGAGCTCCTCAGGTTTAAAGGTGCATCTTATAGTACATACAAATGAGAAACCTTATTCCTGTTCTGATTGTGGAAAGAGTTTTACAATGCAGTCAAATTTAGCAAAACATCAGAAGACCCACACTGGGGCGAAAGAGCATATGTGCTTCGAGTGTGAGAGGACGTTTATTACAGCTGTAGAATTGAAACAGCACCAGAGGACTCACACTGGTGAGAGACCTTACAAGTGTTCACACTGCGACAAGAGATTCAGTCAGTCAGGAACCCTGAAAATACACGAGAGGATTCACACTGGAGAGAAACCTTATAAGTGTTCACACTGCAGCAAGAGATTCAGTCAGCTAGGAACCCTGAAAACACATCAAATGATTCACACTGGAGAAAAACCGTACAAGTGTTCACACTGTAATAAGAGATTTTATCAGGTAGATCATCTGAAAAAGCATGAGAGGACTCACACTGGAGAGAAACCGTACAAGTGTTCACACTGCAACAAGGGATTCAGTCAGTCTGGAAGCCTGAAAACACATGAGAGGATTCACACTAGAGAGAAACCGTACACCTGTGAACAGTGTCTGAAGAGTTTCACACATTTATTAAAGCTTAACAAGCACATAAAAATCCACCATGGAGAGAAGTAAACGACATTAAAGCAGCAAAACATTTTCCCGTGTGTAAAAATGTGTTTTTATGTCTCAGAAAACTTTGAATTTTTGGGAAACATTCATTCATTCGTTATCTTGTTGGCTTAGTCCCTTTATTAATCTGGGGTCGCCACAGCGGAATGAACCGCCAACTTATCCCGCACATTTTTATGCAGTGGATGCCCTTCCAGCCGCAACCCATCTCTAGGAAACATCCAAACACACTCATTCATACACGCACTCAGTACGGACAATTTAGCCTATGTCTTTGGACTGTGGGGGAAACCGGAGCACCCGGAGGAAACCCACGCGAACGCAGGGAGAGCATGCAAACTCCACACAGAAAAGCCAATTGAGCCGAGCCGAGGTTTGAACCAGCGACCCAGCAACCTTCTTGCTATAAGGTAACAGCACTACCTACTGCGCCACTGCGTTGCCCTTTTTGGGAAACAATGATTCTAAAATTGAACATTTTATGTTGTAACACCAATATCAATGCTGAAAAGGAGCAGTCCAAAGGAAAAATGTTCATCTGGGAGAGCTGACATCAGATGAATTCCTGAAATATGTAGGCCTTTTGATTTTCCTGGCACTGCTGAAATTGCCAAGAGTATGAGATAATTGGAGGAGGGACTCAAACCTTAGCGTACACTTCTCTGCTTCTGTCATGACCAGAGATAGATTTGTGGGAATAAGCAGAACTGTCCACTTGAGCAACCCTGACGACCACATGCAAAATGACAGAAAAAAGTGCACTCCAGAATACGACCCTCTGCATCGTCTCAAGCCTCTTTATATTACAATTTGAATGCAAGTCAATGTGGCAGACAAAGAAGCATGTTTTCCTTGATGAAACCATGGTGGCCACGAAAGCCAAAATTGCACTTAGGCAATACACAAAGGCAAAGCCAATCAAGTAGGGCGTGAAGCTGTTTGTGCTTGCTGACTCCAGCAGTGGGTACACCAGTGACTTCAACATCTACACTGGGAAAAGCAGCTTCATGTCAGGGCAGGGTCTCTCGTTTGATGTAGTCAGCAGCCTCATGGATCCATCATACTTAGGGAGGGGCTATCAATATGGACAACCTCAATACAAGCCCAAAACTTTTTAGGCACTTGTATGCAAGTGGGTTTTGTTGCCTGTGGTACTTTCCGGGACTTGTGCAGGAATGTTCCCCAATCAACCAAAACGCACTCACCTCCCAGAGTCCCAGGGGTTCAATATGATGGATCAGACAGCAAGAATTTTTGTTTGTAAAATGGATGGACACAAGGGAGGTGTTAGTGTGTTCAACCATCCACAACGCCTTTGATAGGGACACTGTGAGCAGGAACGTGCTCAACAAAGTCACTGAGATATGGCAGGCAAAAAACATCACGTCACCTTCTTATGAAGACCGTTTTTGCTGGGTTATTTCGGCAGGAATTAACTCGGGAGACCGTGAGAACTCAGAATGCGTCTGAGAAATAAATGCGTCTGAAGCTCTGCACAAGACTTTTGGCCAGCGGAGAAATTAAAATGGTCGTGCCCAACTGAGTCTGGTTCCCTCAAGGTTTTTTTTCTTCACTCCCATCAGGTGAAGTTAGTTTTCCCTCTCCGCTGTCGCCACTGCCTCGCATGGTTCTGGATTGGTAGAGCTACGCATCGATGAATTGCCTCTTCAGTGTTTGAACTCTCAGTAATGATTAAATCACACTGAACTGAGCTAAACTGAACTGAACTGAACTTAAACACTAAAACCTGAACCACACTGTTCCAGTTACTATGACCATTTATGTGAAGCTGCTTTGACACAATCTACATTGTAAAAGCGCTATACAAATAAAGCTGAATTGAAAATAATATGCTGCATTCTTTCTGATGCTCACGTGACCTTCATGTGTTTTTAAATGGATAATTATTTAAACATTACAGCATTCATACAACGATTTATTGAGTTTATCCTTTTCTGTTTACACATAATTAGTAATAAAAATACTGCACTTCACACCTGCTTTATTCTGCCGCATTGACTTCTGGGACTTAAAGAGCAAGTACTGTGCTGAAGTCTGCATCGACGCTTCCTCAATATCAAGAACGCATCTGGGTTCTGATAACGTTTTCATGATTTTAAAATGTTTTTATGTTGCTTATTGAGTTCAAAGAACATTATTTATGAAAGGTTTTCATTTAAATGTTGAAATGAATGAGCATAAGTGCTGTATTTTTACTAAAACTCTATTTTTGTAAATATTCAAGGGTCATTTGATTATCAGTTTTATACCACCTGTATTTTGCTGAACACTTTCATGGCTTACACGTTATGCTGGTGGTGTAACAAATATGATAACTTTGCTAATATTCGATTGAAATGGTCTCATTTATTAGATTTTCCTCATATGCGTACTGAGATTTCTATAAAAACTACGTACATTTTACTGCTGGTTGAACTGAACAAGTTAAAGTAAATGTGAAAATATTCTTACTTTTCCCCTCTTTGTTGTTGTTTTACAAAAATGAAAGATATTAAGAGGAATAATTGCCAGTAAAGTTACCCAAATTGTTTCTGCTGTTCTTAATAGACGTAAAGCTGGTTTTATATTCATATATTCAGACATTTTCATAATAATATATATTTTAGAAAAGTATTCTTTACAAATTGTAAATAGGGAAATCATATTAGCAGCAAATGACTATCAAAGTACAGCACTGTTCACAGTCAATTAGATAGTGCTAATGTTGTTTAGAAGTCATACTTGCATGCTAATCCTGATCAAATATTCAAAGTAACATGGTACACAACATAGAGACTGCTAAATTGATGAATGTGCGAATATAAAATCAACTTTACCTCTATCTGTTCTTTCGCTTTCTGGTAAACTTTTGGTGAAGCAACAATTGGTTGGCACAGAATAATATTATTATCATTATCATAACTATTTAAATGTCAAAATGCTACTGTAATTTAATCAGCCACAGATATATTTCAGCAGTTGTGTGAAGCAATAAACATGCTGATTCGCATTATAAGGCTAACTGGTGACTGCTAGCATAATGCTAGAAATGTAAACATCAGGTCGGTTGTCCTAAGATGCATCCATTACATCACTTTTTTTCAAGTGCTTGAATGTTAAAATGGCTCTCCTTTGAACTGTGATTTACTAAAATGCCCCCGCCAATTTGAACTGAGACCCTTGACTATACAGCAGCACAATGCCAGTGCTGTAAATATGCAGTTCATCTCTTTTTACTCCAGTTGTACTGCAGTTGAACTGTTTCATTATATTTCAATTTTGCAGTTGCAATTTATTTTACTGCAATTATTCTTCTATATACTGCTCTACTGTAATATAATTTTTTAGTTACTGCAATTATTCTTTACTCCAGCACAGGAGGTGGCGATCTGCACCTAAACGTTTGATCTGCAAGTCGTCAATGAACACAAAGAAGAGGAAAATAGGCTGGCTGAGAGAATTGAGACGATCCAGTCCAGCTGTATTGTGTGTCGGTAATGCTACGCTCGTGCATCCAAGTGAGTGAGTTTGTGTTGTTAAATCGGCGCTTTGTCCTTCAGTCGTACTCTTGTTGATTATTCTGTTGAATGAGCACTCATCAGCGCTGACCGTTGTATTGAACTGCCGCCAGATTTAAATGAGGTAAAGTTGGTTTACATTTCAGGCCCGTAGTAAGCCTGGTGAAAGGGCTGGTTCTTTTTTTTCTCAAAAAGTGGACCTTTTTGCAGTTATACACCTCAGTTTCCATTTAACTATGATATTTAAATACTGCATTTTACTGACATTTTTTTTGCTGAATTAGCTAGTCAGATGTCATCATGGCCACACTTTCTGATGTACTAAAAATCCTACAATATTGCATTAAAAAATAATAACAAGACCATTTTTTTTAAAATACAAATTTATTACATCATTTGGAAAAAATAGCAATTTGTTAAAGTTTTATAGTAAAAATAACTGTAGCCAACTGTCATTTATTAGACAAAACAAAAAAAAACGCCAGCACATTCAACTGTCCTCAGTCACAATTTGGCCATTTCAATAAATAAATAAATAAATAATAGTAAAACAATAATAATTAATTCTTAAGAATTTTTCTACTCTCTTTGGTAAAAAAAAAAAAAAAAGTACATTTGAAAATTCCTGAATATCAACAATAGCCAAAATATATTCAAATTAATTTAATATGGTCCGCTTCTGGTGCTTCACACCTTTTTATTGATAGAGGTAAAGTTGGTTTTATATTCGCACATTCAGACTTTCCCCTTAATAATATAATTTCATAAAAGTATTATTTGCAAATTCTAAATAGTAAAATAATATTAGCAGCCAATGACTATCAAAGTTCTTCAAAGTATCAAAGTTTGAAGAATATCAAAAGTACAACATTGTTCACATTGAATTAGTGTTAATGTTGATTTCAAGTCATACTTGCATGCTAATTCTGATCGAATATTCAAAGTAACATGATAAACAATATAGAGACTTCTAAATGAACGAATGTGCGAATATAAAACTAACTTTACCTCAATTTTTTATTGCTCTTTTTTTCAGATATAAGGTCCGAGATTTAGAATAAAAGTTACCTCTGTTAAAAACAATACAGTAATGAAGGAAGACTTCTCTTACATCAGATTATAGTCCCACCGAAGCAGCAGTCGACAGAGCATCCGTTTGGTCTTAAAGCCTTTTTCGATGGATTATTTTCATTATTCATGATGGCATAGCATTCAAAATAGGACAAATGAGCTCATGTATGGGACAAAGTCTGGACTTTTGTCAGTGAGGGGTGGGTCTTCCAAACCCCCCCCTGGCTACAGGCCTGAAAAGTTAGAACACATGTTTTATGCTTATAGTAAACATGTTTATTGGCTGTAAAAGCGCACCTACAGGTGTTTCAGGTGCTGGTCAGATTTTCTCCAGCTCATAATTTATTTTGTTTATATTAATTTTGTCTAAAAAACTATTAGACCCATCCAGTTTCATCTGGAATGCATCCCAGATCACCTTCTGAAGTGGTTTGAGCGATCGGATTTATATCCGATCAGAATTAAAGGAATGAAGCGACCAAACAGCCTAAAAAACACAGACGTGACTGGATTAGCACCTTGAAGTGACATCTGATGGCTGAGGACTCCGCTTGCCATTAAAGCCTTAGTCGGACAGTTATTTAAAAAAAAAAAAAAAACTTTACTTACATACTTTAGCATGCAAGTATGACTTCCAAACAACATTAACACTATCTAATTGACAGTGAACAATGCTGTACTTTGATAGTCATTTGCTGCTAATATGATTTCCCTATCTACAATTTGCAAAGAATACTTTAATCAAATTATATTAAGGAGAATGTCTGAATATCCCAATATAAAACCAACTTTACCTCTATGAAATTCATTAGGCTTTGTTATTGTGTTTTACTTATTGTCAGTGATATAAAGCAAGTTGTTATTGTATTGTCAAATATTGTATTTGCCTTAACATTATATCTGTTAGTCTTTATATATTTTCATATTTATCTTTATACAGAACACACCCATTACAAAGGAAAGAAATCGAGGTAAAGTTGTGGAACATCCAGGTGAGAACATGAGTGATCCAGAACCCTGCAGAATTAAACAGGAAGAGACTGAAGAACAAACAGGTTGGTGTTTATCACTGATTTTTCAAAAATGATGCTGACGGACTTTAATGATAAAAGTTTTGAAAAGTTCATCTTGGACAAAAACGGCAAAAGAAAACTCTCAAATGTTTCAAGCTGTAAAATGGCCCAGCCGATCACTTGAATCTAAGAGAAAATACAAATAAAGATCAGATTAGATAGACAAGACCCACAGAACCATCAAGATTTTTCAGTGTTGAAATCAGTGAAAAATTCACACCATATATATATATATATATATTCATATATGTGTGTGTATATATATATATATATATATATATATATATATTCATATATATATATTCACACATATATATATATATTCATATATATATATTCACACATATATATATATACATATATATATTCATATATATATATTCACACATATATATATATATATATATATATATACACACACACACATATATATATATGTATATATATATATATATATATATATATATATATATATATATATACATACATATACATATATATATATACACACACACATATATATATATATATACATATATATATATATACCGCAAATAATGTTTAACAGAGCAATTTTTCACAGTATTTCCTATAATATTTTTTTCTTCTGGAGAAAGGCTTGTTTTATTTTGGCTAGAATAAAAGCAGATTTAAATATTTTGAAACCTGTTTTAATAGCTCAATATCATTAGCCCCCTTAAGCAACATATATTTTTGATTGTCTACAGAAGAAATTACAGTTGTACAATGACTTGCCTAATTACCCTAATTAAGCCTTTAAGTGTCACTTTAAGCTGAATACTAGTATCTTTAAAAATATCTAGTCAAATATAATGTACTGTCATCATAGCAAAGATAAAATAAATCAATTTAAATCAGAGTATTTAATTCTATTATGTTTAGAAATAGGTTTAAAATAAATTCTTCTTTCTATTAAACAGAAATTGGGGGGAAAGGGTGGCTAATAATTCAGGAGAGCTAATAATTCTGACTTCAACTGTATATATATATAGTCATTTCCCCCCCTTTAAATAAGGAAAGGGTAATAAATACAATAGAATAAAAATATGAAACTGTTTTAAGCATCTTCAAACACTTAAGCTGCAAAAGTCATTCAGTCAGGAGCAGTGTGGGATTTTCTCCATTTGTAGTTTGATTAATAATAAAATAGTCGGCAGCAGGAATATTTTCATACAAAACTGAACAGAGCAACAAATTTGTACAACTGGAAAGGGGGCGGTATATGATGCAATTAATCTTGATCAATGTTTTTTCATAGTCGATAGAAGACAAAATTGAAACCGAATTATCGATTAATTGCACAGCCCTAGTAGTTCAGTGATTTCTCCTCGTGTCAGTCGATTGTTAGGATTATGAAAATGTGCATTAAAAAAAACCTATGCACATAACTGAGTAGGATAAACTTTTTATTTGATAAGAAAATATGCGCATAAACTACGATGGAAACACTTTTACCAAACAAATTCCTGTATGCACATTAAAAAAGGTCATGTGATTTTGTTGTAAAAAATCATGTGATGATGTAAATGTGTGTAAATAGTTGGTGCCAATAGCCCAGTGGTTAAGTGCGCCATGGTGCTCATGGTGACCCGAGTTCGATTCCTGGCTCGAGGTCCTATGCCGACCCTTCCCCTCTCTCTAGTCCTAATACTTCCCTGTCTGTCCTCCACTATCCTATCCCAATAAAAGGTGAAAAGCCCCGAAAAACATTAAAAAAAAAAAGAAAATGTGTGTAAATAGACAAACCAGCAGACTGAGCACACTGTAAAACATCTGAAACGTTGTTGTGGTCATTCTAAAACACCTAAGTGTTTCAGTATTAGGCTGTGTCCGAAACCGCCTACTACTCAGTAGGTACTGCATTTGAATTTAAACGTACTACTCGACCGTTAGAAAAGTACGTTCTTTACAGTATGAATGTGAAAAGTATGAATGGAATTCGGACATACTAAATCCTCCATATTGACACAGTCACATGACGTACCTGCGTAATTTGCGTCGCTTTACTCCCATTCATGAATTCTCTCGCGGGTGTCATGGGATAGCGCAGCATGCATGGGATGCGCACTCCAGAATCTCGCTGGAAGTAGTAAGTCATCCGGGAACTTCTCGCATAATGTTTTTCGAATTCTATGAATTTGGACATACTACTTGGCTCGCATACTGATTTTAGCGTACTATATAGTATGGAAGTATGCGTTTTCGGATGCAGCCATCGTGTTGTTATATTATTAATGATCTACTGAATCAAGAGCATCTGTGCTTTGCGTCTCACGCCTTCAAATGCCACATTGCCTTTTGAGGCGCAAGTCATTTATTAAATGAAGAAAAGATTCACGCAGCTTCTCGTACCTCAGCAAAATTAGTTTTTTACTGTTGGTATTTGGCGTTAGTTAATCAGGAAGTGACTATTTTGTTCGCTTTGACTTGTTGGATGGAATTGCTGCTTTATTCGCACGTCTTTTATGCGATATTCCAGTTTTGTGCGTAAAGGTAATTCGCATTTTTTGGATGTAAGCATAGCTAGTGACTTTTCACTCTTCAAAATTTGCTCAGTTTTTACTTATTAAAACCTGAACTTTTTACCTTTATTTCAGACCTAATTGAAGAGAACGAGGAGGGTGAAGAGGAGAAACAACATGTCAAAGCCAAAAATATACCTCAATTACAGACTTCTGATGTTTGTTTTCTGAATAGAAGCAACAATCATTGCATCTGCACTGAGTGTGGGAAGAGTTTCAGACTGTCATCGTCCCTTAAAAGACACATGATGATCCACACTGGAGAGAAACCATTCACCTGCACTCAGTGTGGGAGGAGTTACAGACAATTATCATACCTTAATAATCACATGAGGATCCACACTGGAGAGAGACCATTCACATGTACCGAATGCGGGAAGAGTTTCACACAATTAACATATTTTAATCGACACATGATGATCCACACTGGAGAGAAACCACACAAATGTGATCAATGCGGCAAAGAATTTTTGAGCTCTTCACAGCTGAAGATGCATCTTAGGATTCATACAAAGGAGAAACCGTATTACTGTTCTGAGTGTGGAAAGAGTTTTACACAGCAGGCAAATTTAAGAAAACATCATAAGATCCACACTGGTCTGAAAGAGCATATGTGCTTAGAGTGCGAGAAGACTTTCATTACGGCTGCAGAATTGAAAATGCACCAGAGGATTCACACTGGAGAGAAACCGTACACGTGTTCACACTGCAACAAGGGATTTGGTCAGTTAGGAAGACTGAAAGCACATCAAATAATTCACACTGGAGAGAAACCGTACAAGTGTTCACACTGCGACAAGGGATTCAGTCAGTTAGGAAAACTGAAAACACATCAAATGATTCACACGGGAGAGAAACCGTACAAGTGTTCACACTGCAATAGGAGATTTTATAGTTTAGAGCATCTGAAAAGACATGAGAGGATTCACACCGGAGAGAAACCGTACAAGTGTTCACACTGTGACATGAGATTCAATCAGTCGGGAAGCAGGAAAATACATGAGAGGATTCACACTGGAGAGAAACCGTACACATGTGATCAGTGTCTGAAGAGTTTCTCACGTTCATGTTATCTTAAGGATCACATGAAAATCCACAGTGGAGAAAGCTGAACAAATGACATCAATGCAGCAAAACATCTTCTTGTGTGCTAAAGGGGTTTCATGTCTAGACATCAGAAAACTTTGACTTTCTTGGGAATCAATCACTCTGAATTTAGATTAGTCTCCTGTGATGTTCCTCAGGGATCCGTCTTAGGTCCCCTATTGTTTAGTATCTACACGAGGTTGGACGATGAAATCCCTGGTTTTAGACATCAAAAATTCATTAGAATGTGAAGGTGGACTTACCTGAAATCAATGCATGTTTCACATTGTCCATAGCCCAAGATTTTCACTGCTGGCACCATTGAAATCGATGTTTGGCAATTGGCAAGTGTGAGCAAAGGTTTGACCAATGAGTGGTACGGTTCAGTACGCTTTTATGGCCGTTTCCACAGTCAAAAGGCGTACCGAACCGTACCCCTTTTTCAGCACCCTTTCGAAAGGGTAACAAACACCAGAGATGGTACCAAAAGGTGGAGCTACACGCGCGGCTGATTGCTCAGTTGGATCACCCCTCGAATCTTATTATCAATTTAAAACAATGGAAAATAAATATGATAGGTAGATTATGACAAAAAGTAAACAGGAAAGATCCTGGCGACTGCTGTAGCTCTTAGCTACGTTTGTGAACAGTCCATGTTTAAAGCCTTTTTGTGTTTGTTTTGGCAGATCTGCTCCTCCTCCTTTAGTGAAGCTCCTCCTCCTTTAGTAAAGTTCCTCCCGCAGTTTAGCTATAAGTACTGGAATATTCCCATCAGTCCACAAGAGAAGACGAGCATTAGACTATCAGGAAAAGAAGTGAAGTCTGCAAAGAGTTTATTAAAAGCCAGAGAGAACGAAGTGATCCAGAACCCTGCAGAATTAAACAGGAGGAGACTGAAGAACGATCAGGTTGGTGTTTATTACAGTGTCTTCTGATGGCTACTTCCAGCAGGATAACGCACCATGTCATTAAGCTCAATCATCTCAGACTGGTTTCTTGAACATGACAATGAGTTCATTGTACTCAAATGTCCTCCACAGTCACTAGATCCTAATCCAATAGAGCACCTTTGGGATGTGATGGAACGGAAGATTGGCATCATGGATGTGCAGCCGACAAATTTGCAGCAACTGTGTGATGCTATCATGTCAATATGGAGCAAAATCTCTGGAATATTTCCAGTGCCTTGTTGAATCTATGCCACAAAGTATTACGGCAGTTCTGAAGGCAAAAGAGGGTCAAACATGGTACTAGTGAGGAGTACCTAATAAAATAGCCGGTGAGTGTATTTGTAGGGTTTAAAACATAACCTGAAGCTCAATTGTCTTTCAGTTTATTGTATAAGGTTGAGCTGATCTGCCTTTGATCCTAAGTGGCTTGTTTGAAGCTCATCAATATAAGCAGCTTCTGGAATACTCTTTAAAGGGCCATGAAACCCCCTCGTTTCAGCAGGGTGTTTTCACACCTCTACTTTGGAAAAAGTCAGAAAAGTGGGCGTGTCCAGCTCTGTTTAGGGGGGAGTGTCGGAGGAAGAAAAGTGGGATGGTGTGGGAGTGTCTATTTGGGCACGCGCGAGTTTCAGAGTCAAAATACACACACACACACACACACACACACACACACACACACATACAGGAGAAAGTGATGGTGTTTAACCTACATGGACTTCTGTAGTCGAATTATTTGCCAAAATATTAAATGGTGGACTTTAACTGCAGTTTGGCTCTTTCATTCAGGGAATTCATTCATGTCCCTCGCGACAAACGAGATATTTGATTCGAGGATCTGCTCTAAGCGTGTATTTTTCATGCAATGTTTGATACCGCACGGCGAATGAGAGAAAAAAAAACTCAGCATTTCCCGGAAACTGAGGGTGCTTTCACACCTGTGAATCGATTCAGTTGTTCTGAAACAGAGATTACAATTGTTACATTGTTACTCTTTGCTCTTGGAGCGGTTCGCTTTCACACTGCAAAGTTTCTAATCGGACCAAAAGAGCTAAAACAAAGTCACGTGCGAGTAAACTCTCCTCACATTGGTCAGAGTGTCAGGGTTTATTTTGCAGCGTCCCGATCAGCTGTCAGGAGAGGTGGTGGTTTGGTGGTGATTGACAGGGTGCGCGCGTGACGTGTCTGAGGAGAGATGCGGTGGGGAGGGGTGAGAAGGGTGCGCGACGATGCCTATTTGAGGGAGGGAGAGGCAAGATTACCGGGAGATCATCACTCGTTTGCGGGCATCCGGAGACTCGCGAAACTTCCCGCCCTACTCATAATTCTCTCTTCATATAGCCGTAAGCCTATTACATATCCATAAAACACTGATATAACCGCGCTCGGATCGGATCGCTTTCTCACTGCAATCGAACCGCTCCAGGGTTCGTTTCAATCGAGCCGAGACCACCTCATTCAAGCGATCTCGGAGCGATTACTTTGGCGCGGAACAGAACGCGATTGCCCTGTTCACATATGCCAAATGAACCGCGCTAACTGGGCAAACGAGACACGTTCTGAAACAAAAGTGTAGGTGTGAAAGCACCCTTAGATGCACACGGCAGGTAGCGTCAGAAAGCCGCGTGTGTTATTCCGGTCACTAAATGCGGTGAAAACCCTACACGAGGTTAAAGTTTGGTTGTAGTGCTAACATGTTTACACTCAGTGCAATAGTTAACTTAGTTCAATACAAACAAACTGAATAAACAAAGAGCACTGGTCACTCACTTACCAAATCTGTAGAGACAGGACAATCACCAGCAACTAGAGCCGCGTCTTTATAAGAGAATACTACAAGCGAATCCGGATTTCAGCGTTTGCAGATGAGAACAGCTCTCAGGTAAACAATAATCCTCCTTAGACACGCAAGTTATTGTTGTCGAGCGTCGCGTACACTGTTAATCCACGCGTGAGTCTGAGCTCTCACAGAGAGAAAATGAAAACAAAACTAAACTGCAGCAAACTATAAATGCAACACTTCATGCTTGTTTTGCCAATACAATGTGGCGTCTCTGTCGTGTAAACACTGTGACAGTAATGAATATTAATGAAGTTGCACAATAGAGCGCGCTGATTGGTTTGAACCAAGTCTTACTCATGCATTAATGCAACACACTGTAATACGTAATAAGACTCACTCTGGCACAGACGCCCCAGTCTGCACGCTGGAATACACGCTATTATGTCATGACCGTGACGCAGCTTCAAAAATTCATTTCAAACAGGAAGTACGAATTTACTTGAAATAATGCAAAAACAACCAATTTACACTTTTTAGTGAAATATAGGCGTCCTAATAGTGTTTTTAACAGTGTGGGACACATATACCACTGTCAACAGCTCAAAACATGTGTTTTGGTGTTTCGTGACCCTTTAAAACATTAGTTCCTGTTTTCACCTCATTCTCTATGCTAATGTGTAAATTCCCATGTTAAGCTCTTTTTATTGGTGTCAACAGACTCAATTAAACAACATAATCACCTGTTGTGTCCAGTGTCTGATTTAACACATGAGCTGAACCAGAGAGAAATGTGTCACTAGTAAATGCTAGAAAAAGCAACCTAAGCGAAAAGCATTCATTATTTTTCCTTTAGCTTAGTCCTATATTTATCAGGGATTTCCACAGCAAAATGAACCACCAACTATTTTGGCATATGTTTTACACAGCAGATACTCTTCCAGTCACAACCGATACATTCACACTCATGCACTACTGCAAATTTTGTTTTACCCCATTCACTTGTACCGCATGTCTTTGGACTGTCGGGGAAACCGGAGCACCCAGGGGAAACCCATAGGAACATTGAGAGAACATGCAAACTCCACTTAGAAATGCCAACGGGATCAGGCGAGACTCGAACCAGCGACCTACTTGCTGTGAGATGATGTTAACCACTGAGCCATGGTTGCCCCCCAGCAAAAAGCCAAAGTTAGAGCAAAAAGTATAAATATTACAAACTTAGGGTGACACAGTGGCACAGTAGGTAGTGCTGTCGCCTCACAGCATGAGGTCGCTGGTTCAAGCCTCGGCTGGGTCAGTTGGCATTTCTGTATGGAGTTTGCATGTTCTCCCTGCGTTCACGTGGGTTTCCTCCGGGTGCTCTCTCTGTGGTCGTTAAAAATCCTTCGAAAAGAGTAGGGGTTTAATCCTGGCCAAATCTGGCCTCTGGGAGCGAGGCAGTGGTGCAGTAGGTAGTGCTGTCGCCTCACAGCAAGGTCGCTGGTTCGAACCTCGGCTCAGTTGCCGTTTCTGTGTGGAGTTTGCATGTTCTCCCTGCCTTCACGTGGGTTTCCTCCGGGTGCTCCGGTTTCCCCCACAGTCCAAAGACATGCAGTACAGGTGAATTGGGTAGGCTAAATTGTCTGCAGTGTATGAGTGTGTGGATGTTTCCCAGAGATGGGTTGCAGCTGGAAGGGCATCCGCTGCGTAGAAACTTGCTGGATAAGTTGGCGGTTCATTCCCCCAGGGGCGGACTGGCCATCTGGCAATTCTGGCAAATGCCAGAAGGGCCGGACCATTTTTTAAATGTGGGCCGTTCAGCTATTTTTATTTATTTATTTTTTTCATATGTATTATTTTTTTCAGTGTAGGCAGCTTTTATCTCGTGCGAGATGTGAATATTATGATGATGATAGTGCTAATATTAAGAATAATAGTAAATGTTAAGCATTGGCCCCATCAGCAACAACCGGCTGGTTTCGAGATGGGGCGACCCAATCTGAGGTTACGCAGACATAATCAAAATTTGGCAAGAATGTCAAACAAACAGTGAGTGCAACGCAAGCTAATAGTCAGATGGACCATAAAAAGGGAAAGGCAGTCAAGTCAGACTTTGCCAATTACATAAAATTAACTGAACTAGTCTCGAAAGGGGGCAGTGCAGTGGCGCAGTAGGTAGTGCTGTCGCCTCACAGCAAGAAAGTCGCTGGTTTGAGCCTCAGTTGGTGTTTCTGTGTGGAGTTTGAATGTTCGTGTGGATTTCCTTCTGGTTTCCTTCACAAGTCCAAACACATGCTGTAGGTGAATTGGGTAGGCCAATTGGGAATTGGGTAACCCAGTAATGGGTAGCAGCTTTAAGGGCATCCACTGTATAAAACATATGCTGGATAAGTTGGCGATTCCCAGATTAATAAAGGGACTAAGCCGAAAAGAAAATGAATGACATGATTGCGTATATAAATGGGTTGTTTTTGTTTCAGTCACATACATTAAATGTTTAAATATCTCTTAAATAAGTACTGCTTATATCATTTTACCATCTGTACACAAATTTAAGTAGTGAATGTGCGTGTCTTTGGGTGGGGCTGTGTCGGTGTGGTAATGTGGGCTGGTGTGGCTGCAATGCCAGGGCTGATTTTTAGTCCCAGTCCGCCCCTGCTGACAAGAAAATGAATGAATGTCCAGTATCTGACACACACTATACTAGAGAGCCAAACACAGTCCAGTCATGATGATTTAGACAAAAGTAAATTGACTGGCGGCACGGCAGAGCAGTGGGTAAGTAGCGTTGTTGCCTCACAACAAGAAGGCTGCTTGTTCGAGCCCCGGCTGGGTCAGTTGGCATTTCTGTGTAGAGTTTGCATGTTCTCCCCGTGTTGGCGTGGGTTTCTTCCAGGTACTTCCATTTCCCTCGCAGTCCAAAGACATGCTCTATATGTTAATTGGGTAAGCTAAATTGTCAGTAGCGCATGTGTATGAGTATGTATGGGTGTTTCCCAGTGATGGGTTGCAGCTGAAAGGGCATCCACAGCTTAAAACATATGCTGGATAAGTTGGCTGTTCATTTCACTGTGGAAACCCCTGATGAATAAAGGGACTAGGCCAAAAAGGATATGAATGTATGAATAAAGACATGACACCATTTTTACAGACCACATTCAAGCACTTTATTTAAATATCCGAGACCAATCAAATTGAAAGAGTTGTTTTAAACCACTGTAACATTACCAGTTTGTGTACATCAGGGGTGTCCAAACTCGGTCCTGGAGGGCCGGTGTCCTGCTTAGTTTAGCTGCAACTTGCTTCAACACACCTGCTAGGAAGTTTTAAATACATGTAGTAAGAGCTTGATTAGCTGGTTCAGGTGTGTTTGATTAGGGTTGGAGCAAAACTCTCCAGGACCGAGTTTGGACACCCCTGGTGTACATTGTTAAACGTATGTTAACTTGGCACACATTTATCTGAAAAAATATTTGGTATTTTCATGCATTCATACATCTTTAGTCCAGGAGGGCCCTAATCAAACAGATCCCGATTAGCTTGTTCAGGTGTTTTTGTTATTAGTGTTGGAGCCCATTTCTGCAGGACAGTGGCCCCCCAGAACTGAAGTTGCCCATTAGATGATGAATGTATAGCCTGTTAAGACATATTCCTGTACTGCCACCCTCACAAGCACATGCACACTTCGATCAGAGTGGCAATAATGCCATTAGGTGTTTGCATCTTCGTTAATAACATTATGCCTACATCGATTTTGAGCTTAATCACATCAACGTTTTATATTTAGAAGAGGCACAGCTTAAATGCAACATTGACAAAATCTCATTATCAACATATTTAGTTGATGCATGTAAATGTAATTTTTTCCCCGTCTGTCTAGTCTGTGGAGGACAGGGCAGGACTAATACAGAGACCGATGACTGAACACATATTAGGAGAAGTTATTATTAATGGTTACTTCATTTTTGAAATTCAGTAATCTTTTTCAATATTAGACACTAGTCAGGGTCAAACGCTAAGGATTTTTTCTACTAGCCTGATAGGACCAGTGGTTTAGATTTTTACATGCCCTGCCAATATTTTCACTGGCCCCACCCAAAAAAAGTTAATAGCAATTTCTCAGCCACAAATTTAAAAAAAAAAGTGTTAAAATGTTTGTATATCTAGAATTTAAATATTAAATATAGTGTTTTGCAAACAAAAGTAGCAAATTGTGCTGGGGCCTGTTTCAGAAAGGAGGTTAAGTGAAAACTCAGAGTATTTTAACCCTGAAATGAGAGAAACTCTGGGTTTTCCGTTTCAAAATGGCAGGTTTGTTAAACTCAAGAAAGCAGGGTAAGTCAAGCCTGTTTCTAAAAGAGAGGTAACTTTAACTCAGAGTCAGTTACTGTGGTAAGTTACTCTGTGAATCTAACCTGGTCCGGAGCAGGTTTTATTCCCTAAACTCTGAGTTTCTGTCGGCCTCCTTCCCTTTTTTAAAGACGAAGCGGTATTACTCGCATTAGTCTTACATTTCCACACACCTATTTTAATGCTCATTTTGGACATGTGCATAAAAAAGATTGATGACAACGTCATGATTCACATAACTTTTAAAAATACGCATAATATAACACGTGCATAACTGAGTAGGTTAAACTTTTATTTGATAAGATGCACATAAACTACGAAGTGCACTTAAATTACAGTATGTACATTAAAAAAAATGGTTTATTAGATATGATGATGAAAATGTGTGTGAATGGACAAACCAGCAGACTGAGCACACTGCAGAACATCTTAAATGTTGTTTTAGTCATTTTAAAATGCCTTAACTGTTTCAGTATTAGTGTATATTATTAATTACCTCCGAGCGTCTGGAGCGTGTCAAGATCTCCGCGTCTGGCTTCAAACGCCCCCACGTGTTCATTGTGAGTCGATTGTCTTCTGAGGCTCAGGTACATTAATTAAATAAAAAAATCATTGGCGCAGCTTCTTCTACCGCAGTAAATTCTGTTTTTACGGTTGATATTTGGCGCAAGTTAATCAGGAAGTGACGATTGTGCTCTCTTCGACTCTTTGGATAAAAACGCTGCTTTATTTTTAGCCGTTATTCCAGTTTTGCACAAATTTATGTAATAGCCTATATTTTGATGAAAACACAGCTATTTCCTACATTTTTGTCACACACAGAACAAAGTAACGTACGAGGCTTGTCTTTTTTTCATAAATAATTAGCTTAACCTTCGACATGCACTGTTACTAGAATAATGGGATTATTATTCTGTCTAAAAAATTATTTTATTACTGCTTACCTTAATGCTAAATCAACCTCTATCACTTGATCAATAAAAAGGCAGACACACAACAAGTGCACTGTTAAATCTATTAAAAGTGACATTATTAACGTCACACATTACATTACTTATTTTATTATACTTAAAATGTTTAAATACTTAAAATGAAAAATTACGCATTAACTTGAGCAGCTGTTTTCCCACGCTGTCTCTGTTTCACTGATGGCTGCTTCATTTTAAATATTTACGCTCATATTTGCTATAACTTTGCATGAGCAGATCAAGTTCAGCTGGGGAAAGAAATGCTGATCTCTCTTTTTTTTTTAAGATGTTGCCATAGTCACTCATAATATCTGCGCTCCAGTGATAATGCCTTTTTAGTCACGGTGTGCGCGCTTAACTCTGAGTTGGTCTACTCAAAGTTGATTGATCTAACTCAGATCAGCTATTCTGAAACCGAAAACTTTAATCTCTCGGTAAATCAACTCAGAGTTCAAGTTTAAACTCCGAGTTGTTTGAACCTCCTTACTGAAACAGGCCCCAGGTATTTTATTGCAAAACAAATGATGGCCGACCAACCAAAGTGATGGCAAACTGTACAAAACATCACTTGATTTTGTTTAGTCGTGGTGTACCCCTGTAATTGTCTGCTTCCGAACCCTTACAAACAAATGTTTTCTTTTAGCATCATCATTTGATGTTGCTGCCATGTTGCTGTCTGTTCGCTGTACTGGTTGTCACGGAAATAGATAACGTTCTCACAACATCCAATCAGATAAGAGGAACCGAGAAGGAAGCATTTGAAGGTTTAGAAACACAAACTCGGTTCTAAGACTATTTCCACACAATTGACAAAAAAAAACTACATCGCAGGCAAATTAAACTTTGGTTACAAGGCAGCAGTGGCCCGATCGAGCCAGTAATGATCCTGTCTACTGTCCCGAGCATCTCACACACTGGCCCCGGACCATCGGGCAGTCCTTATTGTTGAGCCCTGCTAGTATTACGTTATGGTCATGGATTACAAATCATCTGGATAAAGCTGTGCCACTAAAGCATCTCAGGCGCCACAAGCTGGACATTTATTTAAACAAAAAGAAAAGCCTGAAATTGGGCGACCCAGTGGCTTAGTAGGTAGTGCTGTCGCCTCACAACAAAAAGGTCGCTGGTTTGAGCCTCAGCTGGCTCAGTTGGCGTTTCTGTGTGGAGTTTGCATGTTCTCCCTGCGTTCGCGTGGGTTTCCTCCGGGTGCTCCGGTTTCCCCCACAGTCCAAAGACATTGGGTAGGCTAAATTGTCTGTAGTGTAGGAGTGTATATGGTTGTTTCCCAGAGATTGGTTGCAGCTGGAAGGGCATCCCCTGCGTAAAAAACGTGCTGGATAAGTTGGCGGTTCAGTCCGCTGTGGTGGCCCCAGATTAATAAAGGGACTAAGCTGAAAAGAAAATGAACTAGGCTGGCTAAAAAAAAAAAAACGAAAACAAAAAACTAATATATGAATATCCCACTGCAGTGCTGGACATATAATTATGTAGCTGTAATTATTAGACGGAGATTATTCTAGTTCTGATTGAGCATGTACACCCACCCTATTTATAAACCATTGGAATTCGTCGACATAAGTGATGGGTCGTTTTTAAATGATGCGTTCATTTTGAACGAATCTTCAAGATGACTCAAGAACTACGAGTCCTCTTAGGGAGTGATTTGTTCAGCCGCACGTGCGCAGTGTGCACTTTTGTGCAGGTGGTATTGTTCAAGTCGTTCATCGCAGAAAGGCAGAAGCCAATCATAAGCGCTTGGAGCCGGAAAAAGAATTGATCTGTTCATCTCTCGAGTCCTCTATCGGGCTTGAGTCATTCGTTCCTCATGGGTCAATCATACGCGTTTAGAGCCATAAAAATGAATTGATCTGTTCATCTCTCGAGTCCTCTATCGGGCTTGAGTCATTCGTTCCTCATGGGTCAATCATACGCGTTTAGAGCCGTAAAAAAGAATTGAACCGTTCATCTCGAGTCCTCTATCAGGTCTGAGTCATTCGTTTATCACGGGCCAATCATATGCGTTTAAAGCCGGAAAAAGAATTGATCCGTTCATTTCTCGAGTCCTCGGGTTCGAGTCATTCTGTCACGTGATGAACGAACGACTCAAGAACCAGAAAACTTGAAAGGTGAACTTATTATCATGGCTCCTATCGGCCCAGACTGTGAACATTGGTTAAGAATATATGTGACTGTCAGTGTAACGTCAACGAACCACTGACATTTGAGGACACGAAGAGGTGAGCTGAGCAAAGAGACAACAATACCTTCATAGACAAAAGAGCAGGTAAACATTGAATTATTATTTTCTCCATCTTATAGTATTGTATTTGTGACTTATTTGTCGTGTGATCAACCTTTTGGGCTAGTTGTAGATGTGTTTGGAAGCAATTTGTAACATTTTAATACTATTTTGGCAAATTGAACCAAAATGACTCGTAAAAAAGATTCATTCATCTTGATGAACGAGACTCAAAGATCCGAGTCAGTAAATGATCCGAACTTCCCATCGCTAGTCGACATATTGAACAGTGAAATCTGATGTTTGTGAATACGGAGTGAAGTTTTCAGTAAGGTAAACGTCATCGATGTGTAAAACTCCTTGTGGCTTCTCCTTCGCATGAACTCTCAGATGTTTCTTCAGCTCTGCAAGCCTCAAAAATGTTTGGAAGCACTGCTCACATTTGTGTGGCCTCTCTCCCGTGTGGATCATCATGTGTTCATTGAGGTTTGATGGTCGTCTGAAAGTCTTCTCACACTGAGTGCATGCGTACGGTTTCTCTCCGGTGTGAATCCTCTCATGTGCTGTCAGGTGTCCTGAATGTCGAAATGACTTGTTGCAGTCTGAACACACGAAAGGTTTCTCTCCGGTGTGAATCCTCTGGTGCTTTTTCAAGTCTCCAGCTGTAATATACGTCTTGTCGCACGCAAAGCACATGTACTCCCTCACACCGGTGTGGATCTTCTGATGTTGACTTAAATGCGACTGCTGTGTAAAACTCTTTTCACACACAGAACAGGAATACGGTTTCTCCTTTGTATGAACTCTGAGATGTTTCTTCAGCTCTGAAGGCCTCAAGAATGTTTTACCGCAGTGATCACACTTGTGTGTTTTCTCTCCATTGTGGATCAGCATGTGTTCATTAAGGTGCGCCGACTGTCTGAAACTCTTCCCACACTGAGTGCACGTGTACGGTTTCTCTCCGGTGTGAATTCTCTCGTGTACTTTCAGTGGTTTTACATGACTGAATCTCTTGTTGCAGTGTGAACACATGTACGGTTTCTCTCCAGTGTGAATTTTCTGGTGCTGTTTCAGGTCTCCAGATGTAATGAAAGTCTTCTCACACTCAGAGCACATATACTCTCTCACGCCAGTGTGGATCTTCTGATGTTTTTTTAAGCTTGAGTGCCATATGAAGTTCTTTCCGCATTCAGGACACGTATGAGACTTTGTCTCATTCTTATGAACTTTAAGATGATCCTTCAGCTCTGAATAAACGAGGAACGTTTTGCTGCACTGATCACACGTGTATGTTTTCTCTCCGTTGTGGATAATCATGTGTTGATTAAGGTGTGATATCTGTACGAAACTCTTCCCACACTGATCACATGTGTACGGTTTCTCTCCGGTGTGGATCCTCTCATGTGTTTTCAGGTGTCCTGAACGATTGAATCTCTTGTCGCAGTGTGAACACTTGTAAGGTTTCTCTCCGTTGTGGATCCTAATGTGATGATTCAGATCACATTTGTAGCTGAAACTTTTTGCACACCGAGTGCAGGTGAAAGCTTTTATAGCTGGTCTTTTCAATAATAAGCTATGTTCCGTCTTTGTGTGACTTTCGATTTCACCTTTGACCCGATGTTTCTCCTCGTCTTCACTCAGTACTTCCCTCTCCTCCACTATCAGATCTGAAAATGAATAAATGACATTTTACCAGTTTTATTAGACTTGTTTTTTTTTTTTACAGCAGATGATAACTAAATGCATCTGATATATGTTTTACAAATAATATATAAATATTCATATTTATATATTTTAACCAGGTAAACTCTGCTGCTATTTTGGGATTTCCGCCTGGATTTTGCCTACCCAAATTTAAAAGCTTCCCAAATCCACATGCAGAGGTGTAAATGCACAAAAATGTGGAGTCATTTTAAAGAAAACCCTTTGAATTTTATAAAACACTATTGAAAGTGTTTAAAATATCTGTATATGCCGTCTGTGTTATAATAAACCAGGGTTCAACTCTGAGTATTTTTTATACAGGTCCGATCGGGCAATTGGTTGAGATTTTTACTTGCTCTACCAAAATTTTCACTGGCCCCACCAAAAAAACAAAAAATTTAATAGCTATTTCTTAGCCACATATTTTAAATAGTGGCAAAATTATGCCTGTGAATCTAGAATTTAAACATTTTAAATATGCTAATAAATGTACAATGAGCTAAATTCAAGATTTTATGAAACTGAATGAGCTGTATGAAAAATATGCTGGTATTTTAATGCAATCCTAAATTATTTTGATAAAAATGGCTTGCCAAACTGACAACATTTTTTTTTTCTTTTTTTTTCAGTTTCTTAATTTTGAACCCATGTAATTGTCTGCTTCTAAGCCTTTAGAAACAGACGTTTCCTTTTAGCCTCATTGTTTAATTTCGCCGCCATGTTGCCATCTTTTCGCTGTACTGGTTGTTACCAGGTTACAAAAAAAATGTGCTTATCGTTACTGGCCGATAGGGGCCAGTAACAATCCTGTCTACTGTCCCGAGTGTCTTTCACGCTGGCCCCGGGCCACCGGGCAGTCATTATTGTTGAGCCCTGTAAACACCTAAAAGAGAGGCGCTTTTTGTATTTTTTTTTATGAACTCAAATTTAAAAGTGTACCTTTTATTTTCTGTGTGGTCTAGTGTGCTTTAATTAATTTTGGTGGTTCCTGCACTTGTCTGTAAAAATGAAAAATGTCTCCACCATAATCTATGCAAAAGTTATTGTACTCCAGCTGATGAGAGGTGCTGTACAAGCCACAGGGGCCGATCATTGTGTTCATATTTCACTATTCTTTTGTGTGATCAAACATAATTCACTGTGTTTGGACCACGTCAGACATATAAAAGGATTACTTATGCACATCACCTCAAAAACAGAGGAGAAATGGCCCTGAAGCACACAGCATAAGGTGAGAGATGACAGCTGTCTGTGCTATCTGGGGCTGCTTATTGATCATAAATGTATTGTTTTCACTTCTGCACCATGGAAACACGGCGATTCATTCAGCAACTGTTTGATATGCGAATATAATTCAGTAAAAAGAATGCTAGAACCGTATGAGCACCGGCAAGAGCTTTCATTTGAGCTATAACTTGTACATGTGTCATATGAAAAATATGAAAAGATCCAATGTAAAAATACCCAGCTCGGGTATCCAAAATACTGTGTATTTAAGTGTAAATAACTTTTGGACGGTACAATAAAAACCAAAGTGATGTGCATAAAATATAGATTCTACACTTTCAAACAAAACCACTTAAGGGGGTCTGGTGCAACGCTAGCCCTTTAAATCTAAAAGTGAAAGTCGATGACGTTACTGACCCAGTAAAAAAAAAATTGTGTTGTAAAGAAAAATTCTAATTATGTATGGAAAGCTTTGTTGATGCACCTTGATATTGAATTGAACTGAATCTATGGCATAATAATCGTTACCTAATCAAACCGAACCATTAGACCAGTGTAGGTTCACATCTCCACAAGCCGGTTATTTCACAAAATAACCAAGTCCAAGTGTGAAAGTGAAAGACTGAAGCAGTGTACTGACGCTGAGACACATTACCTGATAGATTTAAAAGACAGAAGAGACCTAAGATAGAGATGAGATTAATGAAATATCACGTTTAACAACTATAGTGAGACGCCATCCAGCAGTACATCCTTAATAAACTGTCCGACGTGCACTGCTCTCTGGAGAGGGTTGTTAAGAAATGCTAGGTAAAACACGATGTGGATGTGGATCCTTTTTTTTCTAAAATGCCATTTTAATACTAAGACGTATTAGTGTAAACGGGGCATAACGACCCATTCACGCAGGGCTTCAGCGTCAACGCTTGACTGAAGGCGTGTCTGAAGTTGGGGCTAACGCAATCGTCATAGCAGCGTCAGCCAATGAAATTCAGTCAGCAATAGGCCACTGTCTAGCTGGTGTATTTGCATACAGCGATCTGATTGGCTAACGCTTAAATAGTTGAGCTAAACCCAACTTCTGCAGCGAGCAACGACTCTGAAGCAGCGCCGACGGGTCCACAATACAGTTCGGCAACGTCTGACGTCACCCATTCAAAGTGAATGGAAAGCATTGACGCTGACGCCCCGTGTGAATGGGGTGTAAGTGTGTATTCTTCACGAGCGGGTTATAAAAGCAAAAATATACAGCTAGTACATATTAAATTAACATTAAATTCATTGTAGTTATTAAAGTACACAGACACAAAAATGCTTAAGATAATATGAAAAGTACTAAAACTGAAACTGCTTTAAGATCAACAATCTTATTCTTCATCCTCATCATTGAAGAGTCACAAATTAAACACAAACCTATTTGTTCTTCAGTCTCTTCCTGTTTAATTTGGTAGAGTTCTGGATCACTCATCTTCTCACTGTCCTTCAATAAACCGTCTTCGTCTTTCACTGGTGGTGGCAGAGCTTCAAGAGAATAAACAGAAAAATTGGTTTTATTTACACTGATTGATGCAATAATGTGAAATTTACACCGAAACAATGTGTGATTGTGTCATTTGCTCAAGTAAACCGAGTAAAATTAACTTAATGTGGCAATTTGTAGCTCTAAAGACGTCAGTGTAATGAATGATGTGAAATCAGGAACTATTGACAGTGACTAAGTTTACATGGACACCAGTAATCAGACTATTTGCCTTCATCTGAATAAGACAATAATAAGATTAAGGTGTTTACATGAGTTGCTTTTTGATTGTTTTCTTCATGATCCCGTTTATAGGTTAAAGCACATATTTAGATGAACATCTAAATATCTAAATTAGATGAGTTTCATGTCATTTTGGGTGTTTCATTTTTAATTTTCGGCTTTATTTGCAGTTCAGCAGTTTCGCTTTCATTCAGGAATATTTAACGCATGCCCCATGTGACAAACTGAGGTATTGGATGAGAGTATGGTAAGGACTGGTGGAGGAGTGTTGTTTTAATGGAATTTGACGCCGAATAGAAAGAAATAAACCTGGCGTCTGGTCGGTCCTTTACTGACTAAGCAGGTACAGAGAATATTGTCAAACAGTTGTGTGTTTATGGAATTCCTGTCCCAAAATGTGGCAAAAATCCTACACGATGGTAATACCTTGTTGTGGTGTTTACATGTCTGTACCTGCATTTCAATAATGCGACTAGGCATACTCCACGTCTTAATCTGATTTCTGTTTAGTTCAATTATGACTAGTCGGATTAAGGTAATCAAAAATCGCTGTTTACATAGCAGGGTTCAACGCTAAGGATTTTTTCTACTGGTCCGATCGGGCGAGTGGTTTAGATTTTTACTTGCCCTGCCAAAATTTTCACTGGCCCCACCAAAAAAAAAAGGGAAGTTAATAGCTATTTTTTAACCACATATTTTAAATATTGTGTCAAAAATAAAGTCTGTAAATCTAGAATTTCAATACTTAAAAAACAATTGTAAATATAAGTGTTATGCAAACAAAAAGAGCAGTATGGAAAATGTGGAGGCATTTTATTGCAGTTTGAAATTATTTAACAAAAGGTGGCTGATTTGTCAAACTGACTATGCATAACATCACTTCATTTTTATTTTGTCGTGTTGTTTCCAAGTAAATGTCTACTTCCAACACGTTAGAGACAGACATTTTCGTTTAGCCTTTTAATTTGATGTTGCCGCCATGTTGCTGTTTCTACGCTGTACTGGTTGTTACCAGGTTACAAAAAAAAAAAAAATAGCATGGTCAAATCAATCAGATAAGACGAATGTTGTTTACGACATTACAGAGAAGGTAGCATTTAAACATTTGAAAGCACAAACTTAAAATGCACGCAATTGACAAATAGTCACAGACAAATTAAATGTTAGTGACAAGACAGAACTGTCCCAATCGGGCCAGTAATGATCCGGTCTACTGTCCCGAGTGTCTCTCACCCTGGCCCTGAGCCACCGGGCAGTCCTTATTGTTGACCCCTGCATAGTAGCATCTTAATCAGATTATTGTCTTAATCATTAAAATCTAATTATTGGTGTCCTTATGAATGTAGTCATTGACAAATACTCATTAAACAAGCCAATCTGAATCAGCAGCAGATCATCTTATTTTATCCCGAGTGTTTGCAGGTTGAACTACTTACTAGTGCAGTTAGTTTAAAGTATATATTTTTGCATTTATATGAAAATCTAGTTTAAATATCAAGTATTCATACTGCCAACAAAGTAATTCAATCGTTAGCATTAGCACGTCTGTGTACAGAAACTAGGAAATCGCTAAATCCAATACTGAGCACCACAAAACGTCGACTTAATGTTTTGTATATTAAAATTGATATACGCTGCGGTAGATTCCTATTAGTTCCCTTCATAGATCAAAGATACAAACTTGGAAAAATTCTAACTCATTAACAGATCACAAATTCCCTCTTATTTTATTCATTGCCAGCTGCATTTAATGCAAAAAAAAACCTCATAGATCGTTGCTTTAATAAACTTGTAAGTTTCATTGTTGTGTAAACACAAGAAAGTGTACAGCGAACTGCACCAAGAGGGAAAACGAACTCTAGTGCAATTCAACCAAACTAAAGAAGACAGGTGTGAAAACACCCTTAAAATAATACAGATGAGCCAAAAACAATTGCAAATGTAGACAAAAAGCCACATTACTCAATCATATGTGAGGTAAAATACTGTTTATTGGGTACTTGAACATTGTTAAACATGCACTAATTAATAAAGTAAGCTGAATACTGATTTAACCATATGGGATTATCTTTTCCTTAAGTAAACTAACATTTTTAACATTGCAGGAATAGAATTTTTGTAATTGGAATACTGTATTTCATGCATCATTGAAAGTGTTAAGCTTCTCTTTCCTGAACAGGCACACTTTGTACATGTTGAATAACTCAACAGACATCTTCAAAAATAACAAAATTACAGCCAATGATTATTCATATGAAAAGGCAACAAGCTTTGTTTTGATAATTTGCTAAATTATGTAAAATAACAAGATAAAATGACAGAAAACTACAACAATAAAGCCTTCAAATGTTCTTTGGTGAAGAAATGTTAAAACCTTAAATTATTTTTCTTCGTCCTAATGGCTGGGACACACCAATCCTTAGCCAAATCCTTAGCCAATCCTTAGCCAATCCTTAGCCAAACAACTAGCACCAACAAAACCTAACTGTGTTGTCTACTAAAATTGGATTGCGTTTGGAGTGAAAACACTAAATGGATCTGGCGCCTAGACTGCAGCTGCGGACAAGAAGTTTGGCCGGAGGAGAAACGGTCATGCCCAACTGAGCCTGGTTTCTCGCGTCTCAAGGAGTTCAGTGTATGTGTACGTGTGAGTGTGTGTGTGTCTGTGAACGAACATAGAGATGTGCGTGTCTGTGGTCTTTTACTGACTCAGTAGGTGCAGAAAATAGTGTCAAACAGCTGTTTGTGTGTCCTGTCGCAAAATGCGGCTACAAGTCCTTCACGATATTAATAGTTTGATTTTAGCCATTAAGGGCTCTATTTTGACGGTCCATGCGTAGAGCGCAAAACGCAGGGCGCAAACGCTTTCAGGGCGTGTCAGGACGCGTTTTTGCTCATTTAAGGACGGGAAATCTGCCTTGTGCCGTGGCGCATGGTCTAAAAGGGTTGAGTTTATTTTCTTAATGAGTTATAGGTGTGTTTTGAGAATAAATCAATCAGAGTCTCATCTCCCATTCCCTTTAAGAGCCAGCTGCGTCACGCCAAGAGCACATTTGCTATTTACAGTACATAAAGTAAGTCTAAGTGGAAAAACTGCATTTCACAAGCAAACAGTTCACAGTGTTTTTAACAGAAAACTGTTAAACAGAGCATCTACTGCGTGAGAATGAGAGATAATGGATCTACTTTCACTTTCGCTCTTGGATAGGGAAACTTTACGAACAGACATCAATTAGTCTATAAATAATTAATTTTGTTTGTTAAGCGCAAATATTAGTTTCAAAACTATTTCTAAATTCAGTTCTAATTTCCAGCAAACGAATAAATGAACAATAATAACAAAATGTGCTCAAAAACCTGAGTTATATCCTAAAACACATGCTGTGCCCCATATGCTCTAAAACCTGACCGGTGGACAAATCTAAGCTTGTTTTTAATAAAACAAATATAAATATGGATATAATAAATAATACTGCTAATAATAATAACATTATACAAAAGCAAATGGTTATGAATGAACTGAAAAAGCCTCCCGAGATGAAGAAGACATAAAAGCAGTGATTTTTCTTATTTAAGTAGGCTAGAAAATAATGTTTTGTAATATTTTAATCCTTTATATTTATATTCTTAATCTATTCTTATTATATCCTATATATATATATATATATATATATATATATATATATATATATATATATATATATATATATATATCCTTAATATAATTTTTTTTTCAAATGTAAAGATATTTGCCTATTGCTCTCTTGTGTGTATTAAGCAGTGTGTAAGCGAGGTGCAACTCTGCCGGAGTTTAGACCGGGTTAGTTTTGGTCTAATGAAAAATCTATTATAGTTTCTCAAAATAGCAACGCGCCAGCCGTGCGCCTCAGAACGCCTTTCTTTTTAGACCAGAACGCCTATGGGCGCACATATGAGCGCTAATGCATTTGCTATTTAAACAGCGTAGCGCAACGCCTCAAAACCATCTTGCGCCAAGCTGAAACTACCAAAAGACTACTGTGCCACGCCTTGCGCCACACTGCGCCGGGTGTATGATAGGGCCCTACATGTCTGTACTGCACAGCAATACCCCGATGGGAACATTCGACGGCTTAGTTCCATTTGTGTTTACGACGGTTATGACTTTAAGCATATCTTAAGTGCTATACGAACCATAATGTGTGTGGCTGCAGTTGTAGCCTCTGTTGAATTTGGCAGCTGCTGAACTCCGGTTGCGTCACACTCGCCCATGCAAACGAGTGACACACGCAACACAGAGGCCAGCCTGGGTTGCCAGGTGTGTGCAAAGCACTTGATTTGCAGTTCAAAACCAATGCTGCTTCCAATCTTTGGTGCCAACTTCACCCTCAAGCTCAATCCTAACATCACAACTTACGAGACAACTTTTCACCTCGATGAGGAATCTCGTCGCGATTTAGTCTTGTGAGATCTCATCATACAAGATCTTGTCCCACCCCTACGTTACTGTCATGAACTCCAAATCATTGCAGCCAAATCTTCTGGAAAAACCTGTGCCACTAAAGCATCTCAAGTGCCACAAGCTGGACTGAGCGCCACAGAACTACTGTTACGCGTCACGGCTCATGTGAATGAGTAAGACGAGAGTTGCATGTGCTAACATGTGATAGTGACACCTATCCAAGGACAATATCTCATTGATCCAGCTCTAATAGTGGCTGTAAATACCAGATGGATTAAACACCCACCACCTTGAACTCTCGAGTGGTCCAGTTGCTCC